TAATATAAGATACTTACTATAATTAAAAATAACAATCAGTAAAATAAATAGCAAATAGAGATTTAATTATTAATATTGCATTGTTTACCAACCGTACTTTGACCGAGCTTATTTCGACCCAGGTCAGAACATGGATTTTTACTTTATAAATGTAAAAATCCTACCGTAAACAAAAATCTGATATTTGTTTAATTGAGAAGGGACTTTGGTAACAAATATAGTGAATTTGATAATTCTTTAGGTAAGCCTCTCGTGACAAATATTTGTAAAGAGGTCACACAAAACACCCATGTTTCGTTGTCGTTTGACAGTGACACATGTTATGTAGGTTCACGTTTCCCCTTTACAGTGATGGATTTCTGAGTAGTACAACACACGACCCGTTCTAGGATTTGCTTTTATCACTGTAACAACACACTAACAGATATTTTGTAGACAAATACCAAATATGCATAACAAGCATTTTTTTTACTTATATTTCAGACGCAACTTGTTCTATGTGGTAACTACGCATATTAGTACCGCCCATTCATCAAACAGAATCCCAAAACCATTATATCACTTCATAATGTGCAATAATGATATCAATAATATAATAAACACCCGAACAAGCGGATTTATTTATGAATAGCAAATATGAATAACATAATAATAATAAAAGAAAATTAGCGTTTCTAATTAGTTGACGCTTTATCAACTAGCAGTTATTTGTTAACGCTGAATACACATTGACAAACCGGATTACATGCACATATTTTTTGAGTAATAGAATTTCGTTTCGCCAATTTGCATTATACTGAACGCTTAGTGTTTATATCTTGCATTTGTTGCTCAGGAAACAATCTCTGGCATGAGCTATGTATTTGTAGTCACCATCCCGCTGAATTCTCAGATCGACCAAGTTCACTTGAACCCACAACATAAATTCATTGGCAGTATGGGGCTTGCAGATATTAGAGTTAACATTGACCATCGACTTGTGCAGAAGCTACATGCATTGACAAAGGCGACAACTAATTTTCTAGGAATGTAGCTGTAGCTCATCGAATGTCTTTCCGTACCAGCATGTTGCAAGTTTTCATGAACAAAACCGATTGCATCATACATATCCTACACCGGTTTTTACTTTTTTTGAGCAATAAAGATTTCGTTTCGCCTATATGCATTATACTGAACGTTTGCACTCGGTGTTTATACTTTATCTGACCGCAAGAATTTCAATCAATTCCTTGGTCAGAATGGCTTTGCATGATGCTCATACATTTAATATCAAAGGTGTTATTAGAATGAACATTATTAGTATTATTGTGAATAGTATGCTATGTGTATCACTGTGATAAAAACTTTTTCTGTAGATTATCACATTTTGCAAAATCGAAATGGGTCAAATCCTAGAACGGGCCATAACAGTGATAATAATTATATACAGATAATTATTAATTATAAATTTATTTCGTCCTGGTAAGATTTTATCACTGATAAATAAATGCCTTCGATTTCGTTGATTATTATTTAATTTTTTAAATATAGAGAATCGATCCTGCGATTGGCTAAATTGTCATCACGTTGGATCGAATCTTTATCGCATCTTTGATATTGACTTCATCATACGTAACTGTGTTATCGATAATAATATGATCGATGTTCATTGTCCTTACTCAGACGATGTCATTGATAAAATCAGGTCGCGTATATATTTGAGCCGAATGCCGAATATTTTCAGTTGACAATGGAAGCAAGACATAATTTTTGATGACAGTGCCATTCTCAATGTACATGTTAAATTTAACCCGAAACATCTCGTTCAATGACTGCCTGTTACAGGAATTGTCATCCCCTTGATAGCTGATAGTGCCTTTGTAGTCTACATTCATGTATATTTGAGGCTAATATTACATATGTATTTACTGTCACAACGTCTACACATCTCGATTGTCAATAGATATGTAATCATTGATGTTGTTTCGCGCAGTGAAGTATTAGCCCTGATCTACACAAATTTGAAAACAGTCAATCAGAGAATGCGCAAATTGACCGTGTTTCGTGTTTTCGATCTGCTGTATGTCGCCAGAGGAAGAAGACTTCAAGTCATCCTTTTTCAGTTTCTCTTTTTGCATTAAACATACTTGACATCGTGGTACAACACGTGAGTTTTGGAAATGGAATACAAAGCGAAACGACCGTTCCGATACCATCACATGATTTTACGACCACCAATCAGACAGAATTGAACAGGGCTATTATGAATTTGATCGTGAGGCGTGTTAATGATCTATGTCATCAGCTATCATTTGTTGTTTGCTCACTATCCGTATTATCATACAATCAAAATACAGTCTACCCTCTCTAATATCAACACATCTCTATTATCAACACACGGATTGTCCCCTTATAAAAGTAATATTAATATAAATTGTATTCTAAAAATCAAATTAAATTTCTGCAGTTATAACACTTCTCTGCATAATGTAATTGAGACGAAGAAGATAATGAAGATAAATTTCCATCCGTTTCAAATAAAACAGCATTGAATTATGTACAGCAATCAAATGCTCTATATTGTCAGGAATAAAATATTTATAACGTCAAATAAGAAAAAGCAAATCAATTCTCTACGACAAACTAGTTTGCAGAGTTGTTTCACGATTCTAATTATAGATAACAAACACAACGATTTATTAAATGTGAATTATATATGCGCGTGATTCTCGATATAACGGATATCGCTTAATTATTAATACGGAGATTTTTGACGGATCCAAATTATCACTAATTAAACGTGTCTTGATATACCGGAGATTATGAGTAATCTTTCGATAAGCTTATAACGGATGCTAATCCAAATGTACTATAATGTCATTGTAATAAAAATATGCTTGATATAACGATCCATATTGTCTGGCCAACCAATTTAAAAATCGAACGATCATAAACATTCTGCTTCAAAGCGAATTTACTTTAAGTGGCGCAAAAAAAAAAGGATAGATTACAGTTTGAAGTAATTTTCGGTGTGGACATTGTCTAATATTTGTCGTTAACTTCGCGTGGAAACGGAATTAGGAGATTGTCAATGATGTAATCGTAGGACTTGATAATGTGGTAAAATATGTTCAACAGAATAATTTAAGATTAGCGCATCATTAATGAACAAGCTACATAATCTCAGAAGATTCATTACACGCAAAAGCATTTGAAAGAAGAAACAAACTACGTTGGAAGGATTGTGAATTTAATGTCAATTGAATCTGTAATAAATTACTGTTGATGACTTGTTAGCGTAACAGACATTTACTTATAATATCCGGTATATCGCGAACTATCGATTTAGCGGATCTTTCGATTTAGTATTAGTATTGGCGGAGGAACCGTGTCCTCCATTATATTGAGTTTCACTGGTATCTGTTATTTATTGATTCCGCTACGTCCTGTGATAGTGACTATAAGCAAATTAGGACTGTAGGGAAGTAATTTACTATAAATTCGGTCGGTTCTATAAAAACGCGTGATTGTAACCCAAGTGTGCTTATAGAGGAGGTGACCGTAGAGAGGGACGACTAATTAACTTGGACATTTGTTACCTTTAAGATTGTTGTTGTAATATTGTATTTTTATTGAATGCAATAAAGTGTCTTTCACTTGCAAGGTATACCGCCGCCAAAGAAAACAAATTTTATTAATGAAACATAGTAACCCTTTAATTTGAAAATCTCTATTGTCCATACGTATTATATATAACGATTTGTTCTAATTAATTGTATAAAAATAAAGCCCTGCTATCGTTTTAAAGCTGCAGCTTGATGAAGTGACGGTATTTAAATCCCATACCATTTTAAAAAATACAACTAATTAGCTTCAAAACGATGTACGCATGAACAACAGAGTTTACATCTGTTGACATTTCTTGAGTGTAGATTTCAAGAAGTCCACTATAACAAATCATGCATGGAGTTCATGGGCTGTGCCTAAGTTTCGAGCTTCGACTGTATTAGTATGTACTGTCAGTACTTTAACTTTACATTGAATATTGTACAACACTATCACGTGAATAATTGATTTACGCGATCATCTGGATGCAGCAAAAAATTCTTTCACAGTAAACAGGCTCCCGCTCTCTCGAACTAATCGGAAAAATGGATTACCATTCGATATACCAACTATTTACGGCCACTTATCATTCTGATCCTAATATCCAAAAACAAGCTGAATTACAGCTAAAAAGAGTGAGAATTGGGGAACTTGTGGGTACCGCAAATAACTATCAATTCGCGAGTATTGACTGAGAGAACTTTATCTAGGTTGAGGTTATGCCGGGCTTTGTTTCGACCTGCCTACAAATGATTGGGTCACAAGAGAGCGAAACTGGCACAAGGCAGGCTGGTATGTTAATATCATGAGCTAATGGAAGTCTTAAACTTATACGTTTGACAAATCAACAATTTATACGTTAATTGTCATTTAGCCGCTATATATTTGAAAAATCGTATTCGCAGTTCATGGGAGGTGGATGAGGACAATAAGAAAGCAGTACCAATCTCGGACGGTGACCGGAGGGGCTTTAAACAAAATATTCTCAACGTGCTCTTAAACACCCCAAATAATGTGAGGTAAAAATATTTTGTACATCAAGCAATTTTTCGTAAACAAATATAATGTAATTTATTCTAAATTTATATTTATATAGGATTCAATTGCTTGATTGTTTAAACCGCGTCTTGGCTAGAGAGCATCCAAAGAATTGGCCGGATTATCTGTCGCAAGTGCAAATGATGCTCACATCGAATGATCTGAGCACAGTTTACATCGGTTGTTTGGCTTTGTTAGAAGTTGTTAAAATTTACCAGTAAGTGATTATTATTATTAAATATAAGTTTGCATTTGTTAGAGTAAAATAGCTAATTACGTCTTTACAGATGGAAATCAGAAGATTTTCGAAGCCCTTTACGAGAAATCATCCAAACTGCGTTTCCGGTAATTCTACAAGTTGCGCTAAGGATACAGAACGAAGACAGTCTTGATGCTGCAGAGCTCATGAGGATAATACTTAAAACGTATTCGTCGGCAGTTCACGTAAGTAACATATCATTGATATGCCAAGGCTACTGTAAGCCACTTTACTCTGACTAATCCCTGTATACCTCAACTCCTACAGTACGAACTTGTCAAAGAACTTCAAGACAATTCATCATTGGTCCACTGGGGAACGCTTTTTCTTAACATAGTTGCTAAACCTAGCCCAGAATCAGCACTTCCTGCTGATCCTGCGGAACGGGAGAAATTTGGCTGGATGCGTCCTAAAAAATGGGCATATAGCATTCTAAATCGCTTGTTCAGCAGATATGGCAACCCAGCACAACTTCCTCGTTCAGCTTGGAACTTGTACAAAACATTTGCCGAGAATTTCATTGAGAATTTTGCACCACAGATCCTAAGACAATACTTACATCAAACAGAGTTATGGATTAAAAAAGAACAATGGTTGAGCAAGAGTGCGTTGTTCTCCTTGGCTGATTTCTATAAGGATGCGTGAGTATAACGTGAAATTTGATTAATTCGTGTCTTTGGTGATAGCTAGCATTGAAATAAAGAACCCGGAAATTTTTATATAACCGACAACAGAATTTTTCACAAGAAGACATGGCAGATTTTAAAACCTTACAGTGGCGAGCTAGTCTCTCATTTCATTTTCCCGCAACTCTGCTTTACTACTGAAGACAATGAACTATGGTTGGAGGATCCTATTGAATACATACATAAAAAGGTTGACCCGCTCGAAGACTTTACATCGCCAGTAAATGCTGCTACCACATTCTTGATAGATCTGACACGACACCGTCGGAAGCACGTACTTAATGGGATTCTAGTGGTTATTAATTCTATACTCAAGACCTATCAAGAAGCTCCGTCAAATGAGAAGAAACCAGGAGAAAAAGATGGTGCATTGAGAATGATGGGATGCTTGGCCGATCAAATTTTAAGGAAAAGGAGCAACGTTACTCATTTAATGGAAGGATTTTTCGTTGAGCATGTATTTCCAGAATTCAAGAGTCAGCATCCATTCTTGAGGGCGAGAGTAAGTTGTACGGCAAAAGGATAGAATGTGATAGTAATGTTTAAGATCGTTGTGAAAACGTGAATATGCGAAGTACTTACTTTACGGATCTACGGGTAGGCATGTGATATGTTAGTGAAATTCTCTGAACTGAATTTTCAAGACCAGCAAAACCTTGCGGCTGCTTTCCAAGGGATTACCGACTGCATGAGGGACGTGGAACTACCCGTAAAAGTACAAGCTGCTTTGGCTTTGCAGAGTATGATACGACATGATGTTGGTGCGTTATAAAATATCTAAATATATATACTCTCTCTCTAGTTTGTCTTTTGTAATTTTATATAATTAATTGATTATCTATGATTCGTTCTTCTATATATCCTTGAAGTTAGGACGGCGCTTTCACCGAGTCTGCCCGTGGTTATGCAAGGCAAAACAGCAACCGTCGTTGTGTGATGAACGTTGATTTCTAAATCCTGTAGTTAGCTAAATGCTTTTCATCTACTATTCAACAGAGTTAATCAACCTCACAAATCAAGCTGATATGGACATTCTTACTACTGTAATGGAGGAATTTGTTGAAGTGTTCTCAAAAGAACTGAGCCCATTCGCGATTCAATTATGCGAGCAATTGGTACTCATTTTCGACGTATCTTACTTGATTTTTTCTATTGCATACCAGTAATTGCTGAATATATTTTTTTCTCGTAGCGTGATGCATATCTGCGAATTGTTCAGTCGATTCCTGAAGATCGTGATGAGGACTTTTTAAATTCTCTTACTATTGATGATAAGACTATGGCAGCGAATGGTGTGCTTAAGACTTTGTCTGGTATGATCGTGAACTTGGAAATTTCTCCGGAAACTTTCGCTCAGATGGAAGTATCCTTACTTCCAGTAATTACGTATACTCTACAGAATAATATTGTCGGTAAATATGAATGAAATGACCTCATATTCTGGTGTTGATTAGCCTTGCACTAGTGGAATTGTAATTTGACTAAACGAGCAATTAATGTTTGTGCTAGATTTGTATGATGATGTGTTTGAGATTATCGATTACTGCACTTTCACAACAAAGAAAGTGTCACCGGCTATGTGGAACGTGTTTGATTTAGTATACAAATCTGTCAAAGATGCTGGAATAGATTACATTGAAGGTAATTCTTTTTCGTCATAGAACTATACATCCGAAATGCAATGGAGAGTATATTGGATGTGAATAGTATAATTTTTTGAACACTAATTGTAGACTGCCACTTTTTTTCAGACATTGTGCCTTCGTTGGATAATTATATATCATACGGCAAAGATGTATTGTTAGAAAATCAAAACATACAAGCCATGATGATGGATATCATTGATACGGTGTGTATTACTGTTATGAGACCTCATAAGCGCAAATACAATATTAATAATCGAGTTCACATGCATAATATGCAGATAATGAAGCATGATCGGTTGGAGGAAAGTGACCGTGTGGCTGGTTGTAAACTAATGGAATCTGTTCTGTTGAATTGCAGAGGTCAAGTAGACCAGGTGAGATTTAATACCAATCGAGTTGCTATACGTCTAGTAAAGGTGTTATAAGATTTAGTCAAAATGAATACTAAAGCACTTTTTGTTATGACAGTATGTAAGACCGTTTATGGACCTTGCTTTCATGTACTTCGCCAAAGTACAAGAATTACGCAGCACAGCATTCAAACTTTATCTTCTTGAAGTTGTAGGTTCCAATTATTCTTTCTCGGTTCTTGACCTAAATACTCTAATATAATCCTATCGAATTTAGCGCCATTCTATTTATCATACCTAATTTATCATCTTTTGGTTTACTCTATCAACAAGATAATCAATGCTCTATATTATAACCCGCTACACACGCTTGTCATCCTTGAGGAACGCCAATCAACGCAGGCTTTTTTCACGATTTGGTTCCAAAGCCTAGACAAATTTAATCGTGTCCATGATAAGAAACTCACCATTATGGCATTATGTGTACTAGTAGAATTGCCTCCAGAACAACTGCCACAGGCAGTGCAGGTGGGGTGGTCGCAAATATTACAGGCTTTGTTGACTGTACTAAAAGGATTGCCTGAGGCTGAACAAAGTAAGAAACTGTATGTTCATGATAATTTGCAGGATCACGGAAGAATCTGAATTGATCTAATTTCATAGATCGAGAACGCATGCAAAAAGCATATGAAGAAGGCATTGATAGTGATGATGATGAATCTGACCGATTCAAGGCTTTTGGCGGGGATGAGGAAGCCGATGATGATTTTGAGGACCTTGCTACAGAAAATGGTGTGTGCTAATTTGACACAATGAGTATATAAAGTGATCTAATCTTTCCCGCTGATCTTGTAGCTGATGATGAGGATGTGCTCGATAAAGACACCGAGTACTTGGAGATGTTGGCGCAAGAGGTAATATTATCTATGCTTAGCATCATGTGTTGCAACACATGTTTAGCTCTATCATTTTTGTATTAGGCAGAAAAGGCGGCAGCGGAAGAGACGGATGACGATGAAGATGACATCAAGGAAGAGGTCTTGTTTGAATCTCCACTTGATGATATTGATGCGTACATCAAATTCCAGGAGACGCTAGTTGGTAAGTGTTTCTTACGTGTAATTACGTAAATGATCTAATTAGCCTAATGATTCTCGGATGTCCCGTTTTGTATAGGATTACAACAACGCAATCCATTGTCCTATCAACTACTTACTAGGGACTTGACTTCCGAAGATCAAGAAGTGATAAAATCGTTATTTGCCACCGCTGACGAGCATCGCGAACACGCGAAAACAGTGGCAACAAAAGAGAACGAAGATATTTGAGATAGATTATGCATGTAACTTGTTCAATTGTTTATATCATGTATATATACTGTCCTTACGTTTTAATTTATGTGGTCCATAGATGTATCAATATTATATGGGTTTGAATTTGTTGGTATCTTTACAGAACCGGGATCAGTTTGTAGCCTTTATGTGCGTGTTTCATTGTAATTTGTCTTGGCACTACAATCTGATCCTGAATAAGGTGATTTACAGGACAGTTGCAGAAAGCATCAATCGATTAAAATTAAAAACATAACACTAGCTCTCTCGCAGGACAGTTATGTCTCGCGTCAACTGCTTAATTTCTCTGTGTAACCGTGACGTAGGTGTCAATCCATAAATCATCGTCAAAAACACAACCCATCTTAATACGACTTTCAACTTGTTGCTCCCATCATGAAGGATCAAAACGACAGCCTTACAGTCGAGAGTCTCGAATTGCACCCCGAGCTGCGAAAAAACAAAGTACTAACAGCCATGTGTCATGTCTTCCTGAAAATGGGAAACGAGTGGTTGACAGCAAAGCAGATCGTTGGTAATGAAATTGAGTCATAACCGTGTTGATCCAGTAGATTTATTTTGGGACATGAAGTTAACCGATTACTTTTCTCAGCTGCATGTCACGCGTTAAATGTTATCCGATTGAGGCAAGTTAAACAGTGACTTTAAGAGCGACCCTTCACGGACGCTTGATACTTGAATTGATTTGCTAAACTGTTAGGTCATTCAGAGCTGATCCTTTATCTTTAATAGAGGAAAGACTCCGGCTTCCACAATACAAGGGAGTATATCCATAGTGCTATCCACTGCGACGCAACTTCAAGTTCCCCCGCCAATAAGCAAACTGAAGTGTGATGGAGGCAGGGGTACCTATTACCGCCTATCACCAGAGTTATTCCCGAAAGGGTCGATATTCTCCGATAAGATGCCAATAGACACGACCCCTCAGCTTATAGCGGCGCCTACTAGTGGAAATAGCGTGCAATCAAAACGACGAACTACTAATAAGAAGCGAAAACGAACGGTTCGGGCCTCGAGCCATTCAAAAAAGCGAAAGCGCGCGGAGGGGTATAAAGGGCGTCGTCTGAGTTCGGAGCATTCTAATTCAAAGTCGAATAGCGCGCAGTCGACCGTAAAGACGAAGGTTGGCCCAGAATTTGACTGGTTAGACTTAATCGACTCTGGTTCAGATCTTTCGGACGTTGATAGTGACTGGTCCTCCGAATCTGAATCTTGCTATGTTCCCAACGGTCGATTAACCACTGACTCAATGGCCGGTTTGGACGAGACGTCTGAAGAGTGAGTTGGATTTTTTGCATATATTATGCCTTAAAAGTATGATCACATTAAAACTCGTATTCTTCAATTCAGGATGGAGTCATTGATTGACATGCTATTGACGACGTATCAGCCAACAGACTTTGCTATTGATACATCATTAAAACCGTCTGATTTCTGCGTAGGACAGCAGACCGGTTACTCATATCCACGTTTAAGAAATCGTCCGAAGAAGAGGGTCGCGAAGCCGCAATGCGAGGATTCGTTTTGTATCAAGGATTTATATATGCAAAACGGACAGCCGATGACAAGGCTTTTTTGCATTGCTGATGGACATGGTGGTGCAGGATGCTCAAAGTTTTTAACAGAAAGAATACCTGAAATGATCGAAAAACTACTACAGGATTATACGCCGTTTCAGATGTGCAAGGTATCTGTGCAAGAGAAGTTCAAACAAGATATGACGGAGGTCATCAAGTGTCTGGATAACGAGTATCTTGATCGAAAGAGGGAAGAATTTCGTCAATGGCGGAATCAAGAAAGTAAAGTTGAACCAGTTGACGATGGCGCAACATTAGTGTTGAATATCTTTTTTGGTGATTGGCTTATAAATGCCAATGTTGGGGATTCGCGCACAGTCCTGGCTCATGGAGTTAGAAACAAATGGATAGTCGACTTTGCGAGTGAGGATCACAAACCATATCTTGAACGTCTGGCACAAAATATCTTCTGCAATGGCGGTATGTTTGTAGACAACAATGACAAACCCATCAAGTTCGACCCTGTTAGACACGAGAGACGAATAAGACCAAGTCTGAAGAGAGCACGTATCAGACTTCAAGACGCAAATAATGATCTTGGTATTCCGTATTCTAATGGTAGAGGAATCAACTGGTCACTTAATGTGGCAGCTACAATTGGCGATTTACTTTTTAAGCTTGATCCCAATAAGCCAGTGGTATCTTGCGTTCCAGATGTATACTTTACCAGGCTCGACCGACTCTCGGATACTAGTGGGCGTGGATTCCTGTTAATGAGCACTGACGGGCTATTTGACCACATGTATGCAAGCAAGCCTGAAGTACAAAATCTGACTATAGCTACTCAGGTCGGCCGAAAAATAGATATTGGAGAGTCACCCATGGACATTGTAAAGCATCTCTGCAATAGAGAAGGGGATCGAGAACTTTTCGAGAACACTTTGCAAGAGTATGATGATTGTACTTGCATTCTAGTTAAGCTGTAGATTTCCTTTTGAAAAGGTCTGATGATGAGGAGAATAATGAACACTCTGAGTGCACAATAATTGTGCTTGTATTTAAAGTCGCCTTTCTGGAATGACAAGGATGCGTATTTTATGTTGGTGAAAATTGTAAAAGTCGCTCGGCAATAACCACGTTCGATAGTCACTGAGAATCTTTCCAGAAATAGTTGATTTTTATGGATGCTGTTCAGAGTACAATCTTTGTGCTTACGTTGCTAAGCCATTGTATATTTTTTTTCTTCTTCATTGTAATTGTATAGTGCATCACATTAAGAAAATCTATCAAATAATGCATAAACCACCAAACCGTTTTAGACCAGAGAATGTTCGCCCTTAGACGCGAATAGCATATACAACTACAAGCGGGTGAAGGCTTGCTTTAATCGTCTTCGCTGTCGACAATTAATTCACCGTAACTTTCAACAGTGTCGTACATTTCAGCAAGAACTTGCACGATTCTGTAATGTAATTCGTTGAGTATGAATATATGTAAAGATGATATGTTTCAAGCAAGCAGCAGACATCATAGTTCGTTGCTAATATACCATTTTCATAGGCGAAGGCCATGCTTCATAAGCTCATACGTTTAACATCCGGTCAATCATGACTGCTTCCTGATCGCATAATTTAGGCTAATGATTGCAAATTAATGTACGTATTGACTATGCAGTTTTTAGTTTCCGAACAACTTGATGCTTAGCCCCTGGTTCTTGTCATGACCACATTCTCAGTACTGCTGCTGCCCTGTCGAATTCTCTATAGAATTGATAAATTAATGGTGCTCCCTAACCCGCATTACTATATTAAATATCAACTTCCGGAGTTTAGATGTAACAACCTTTCGATAGTAATATTTGGTTAGACTTAATTGCGAGCTTTTGTTTCTGTGACAAGACTGACATCTTTCTGGATCATCTTTCAATGGCATGCGATGGGATTATCGTTCCCAGTCCTATAAAACAAGTATTTTTGGAGTTATGCATTGTAAACTACTCACGTAACTCTGTTTCATAGAATAATAGATTAACTCATTACGATTAATCAGCTAAGATTCTCGAAGACTTTTTATGTTTTATTTGCTGTTGTGCAATGTGAGGCATTGCAACTTTGGTCTCATAATACAAATAAAACCCGTTATAGAAACCTTCGATATAAGAAATATGGCCACAAGAAAGATTTTATTTAACATCCTCTAACTAATGACTCTCGTCATAAGAAATTGCTCATTATAAGAGAGTATTCGGACCGACCCGACGACTTTCTTATAACGTTTTACTTGTAATAGAAAGACTTGAAAGCAATAGTGCCGCGCAAAGGGGGAAATAGAGATAAACATCAAGATGGACCAGTAATCGGAGGTCCTATAGTATGAAAATAGGATACCTCCACTCGTAAACCTACTACTATTATTGATGACAAATTTGTGACCCAAAGAGAGATTATTATTATCCAAAAACGCGAATATTATAGATTGAAGTTTCCTGTCGTTATGCAGATGACTTATACTACAATGTTCGATAAGAAATTCTAATGTACTATAATAAAGAGGCGCGTGCCACAGGGGATTTCCATTGTACCGTCCCGACGAATCTTTGCAACTATTGTTGGATACGTGAGTTAGGTTCCTGACCAGCTGGAGCTCTAGGAAGTTTTCGTTGTCAAATGGTAAGGTGAGCAGTATAGCAACTATGAGAACCCACAAGGGAGACCTCCTTCGTGAACGTTGGATAATCGATATTCGATCCGAAATATCAACAAGAATATCTTTACATTGGTCAACTTTTTATCATCATCAAAACAGTCCCTAGGTTGTTGCAACAAAATGGCATAGATATGTAGGGCTTCCAATCCTTCTTTAACAGAAATAACAGGCAACGCGTCTTCCTGATTTTCATTATCTTCTAGCATAATAATAATATAACTTCTGCATAAAACTATATTACGTGATTAATATGTCTAACGATCAATAATTAAACTTTACGGTCCAGGAAAAAAAAATAATGGCATAATATTAATTTTAAATTTTAAAAATTTAGCAGGCGAACAAGTTATAGCTTGATAAAGCCATATGTCAGACATCTTTTTTACAATCTTCCAGTACTAAATAAAACTATTTACAATAACAAATGCTACCTTATTTGCAACTTTTTTTTAACAATTTAGAGCTATTGAATCAATATTTTTATTATACCATGCCCTTGACAAAACCAAGACTTTTTTCTTGCATAAAAGTTAAATGCCAAAAAAATGTTGAAAATTTTTGTGAAATTTATCATTCTTTAGTGAAATTTATCACTCTTTATTACAAGTAGAATTTGTTATCGTGAACAACATTAGTTACTGCCAAAAGTTTAACTTATTTGTGGAAATTGCATTTAATAAGCTCCACCATTGTTTTTCCCGGGACTGTAAGTATTGGTGCACACAGTTAGTCTCGATAAGCCGGCGAAAAATTTGGGCTGCGACTTATCGAGAATCACGTGACAAAATTTAATTAAGCCATTTACTGTATTATTTTTACATAAAGCATTCCTTTTTCTTATTTGAAAAATCTTTTTTCCCTGATTATTTATTCAATTGTTGTAAATAGCTCAATAAATTCTGGACGCTCTCTAATCGTATAATCTAGTGACATGTTTCGATTACGTATTGGGTTTTGATCGTATGGTGCAGTGCTCTGGTTGTCTATTCTATATATAATAACCCTTTTTAACGACAACAACAACAATAATAATTTGATCAACTAGTTAAAATTGAAGGAAATTGAGATAATAATGGTAAATCCTACTTTTCCTATATAGACAAATACAGTAATTAGTGATCAAACTGCAAAACAACTCGTTTGGTACTGTATTTAAGAAATTCATATTCTCGATAACATATTATGACGGTATAAACCGTCAAAAGTTTGGTTTTGCTTCCTGTTGGATTTGCATCTACACGTAATTGGTTCGGCATTCAAACATCAGTAAAGTTACGATAATTTACATGAATCAATACTTGCAGACCGACAACTTAACCATGACTATTAACGATAGAGTCTAACGATCCTTTCATGAATTTCGCTAACTTTATTATACTCTTATTTATTGAAGCTACAGATTTCGGAGGCTTTATCTCACCGTTTAACAGTTTCCTGTTCACGTATCACATGGTGTATAGCGTATTGTAATTACCAAATATTTCTCCGCGAACTTCATGAGATTTTAACTGCTACGGATGGCATTATGATAAAGTCCTCTTCCCTTTCATTTACGAGTCGAGAAAATTCTGTTTCTTTATGGATGTCTTCTCTCAACGACTGGCACGTTTATTTAGTAGATCATTCCATAAGGGAAGTTGAGAGAAATTCTAATTTTTGTTACGGCAAGCCGATCTGATGATAAGTGAGTCATATGGTAAATCTTCCTCCGCAGTCAAGCAAAATCCCACGTTAATTTTAGAATGGTACGGTGTCGGCAATTTCAGTGTCAGATGCATCGTGTCGAATTTTGAGTGTCAGGCGCAGAAAATGTTTCGATTTTTGCGTGTCAGCACAAACGCAAATAGCCAACTTAGAATATGATTAGTTGTTCATAGAAATTACGATTGTTTAATTATTTTTTAACTCCGTTTCGATTTTTGAGTGTCGCTAAAGGTATATAAGCGACCCTTATTCCGTTGTCGAATTCTCATGTTGTTAATTTTTATATGTTGTAAATACTGTTCATGTTATAAAATATTGTTCAAGTTATTAGAACAATAATTCCCACTCCATGGAATAATAATAAACGATTCCCTTTGAAATCGAAACTTTACTTTCTTTCATTGTCAAAATGTTAATTATTTGACCGGACACACCAATAAACGGCTCACTCAAGCTGTAAACGTCCATAAACGGCTCATTTAAGCTGTATAAGTTGTCCGTTGATCTGTTACTCTTTCTTAATTGAGGAACGAGAGCCAATAATTATTTATTGAAACAAAAATTGTTTAGTTTGAGACAAGTGACGGAATCCGACTAATATTAAATAGAATTTATTCCCCTTCGATTCCGCAGTAGAATAATTGTTGTTATTTTATTGTGGGTACCCTCGTTTGGAATCATGAGCGATTTGAAGCTTGAGAAGCGCGGTAGCATGAAGCTAATCTGGTAACATCCCCCGGTCGGAAGAACACCCCTACGCGAAAGATTAATCGCTCTCCCTATCCCAAACCCCAGACCATCTGACTGTAACATTTTATATCAAAAGTCGATTTACAGATCGATGTTAATCGAAGCTTACGGTAATGAAGAGAGATATTATTATGATCATTTTCCACTCCTGCCATATGTATCAAGAGTGTACAATGTGCTATTACGTCAACTAGCAGCTTTACCCTATGTCGTTGTCTTGATAGGGAAAAAAAAAGCGGAAATGCTATATACGAAATGATGCAAATCATTGCTAAATTATTACAAATATGGGGCTGTACCAACGAACGGCTCGAAAAGTCGGTAAAGAAACATAATAATAAGATCAGAGTGCTGATCCTTTTTAACCGTTTGATTTTGTAAATAAAATTGTACAAAAAACACCCGCTTTTTTTAGCAATGTGTGACGAAAAGAATATATATCGATCATACCAAATATTTCCCTGAAAGAGGGAAATATGTGATAAACCTAGAAAAAATTGACCTTACTAGTTCAATCTATTTAGTAAGAAAAAAAAAACTGATGGAACTGGTACATTGATTTGATTCATCATCGTATTAGTATTAATCTGCATATGAATATTTATTTTATAATAGTTCTACCATAAAGCTAAGCTAATTCTTTAGCGCGGATGACGGTAATGTTCAATCTTTTTTGAATATTTTTTCTTTAGCACTTCGTTAATGTAAGATCTTTTTTTCAGTGGAATGTGGTACGAATGAACATCCATGTGACCTTTGACATTTTAGCTCACACGGTAACACAACTTTAAAGAATCAAACTTATTAATACGAATGATTCCAATCACAACACTCTTGATCGTGACAACATGTGCGCTCTATGTAGGCTATAAATTAGGACGCTACATCGAGTCTTCGAAAAGCGGACGTGTAAGTGTCTTACGATCACGTTGAATTCTAACATCGCACTTGTTAAGATTTTACAACTTTAGGTTAGCAAAAATGATGTATCAGATGCGAGTAAAAAAGCCTTTGAAGATACACCAGTATCAAATTCACGAGGGGTGTTGGATGCCGAGAAGTATGACGACTTTAAACTGGTTGGTTGAGATCAGAGGGGTAGAGAAGAAAACAATGATTTTGGTAAGCGATTAGCAAGTGTCGACATTAATCATTACCCGTCCAGGTTCTGGTTGTGAGAAACGATCTCGGGATGACAAAAGGGAAAGCGGCTGCCCAGGTGCGTACAATATGGAAATTCCACTTGCATGCCAATTTTGACGTTATCATTTATTATTTCTTCGTTTGCTGTCGTGCGCGTATGTGTCGCTATCTAGTGCTCTCATGCGACATTGGCATGCTACAAGCGGCTATCTGCAACAAATCCAAAGGTATTTATAACAAAGTTGTGCTTTATATTTGCTATAGAAAACAATGCCTTAACGTTTTTATTGCTTTTAAAACATCAAGCTTCTACGTGCTTGGGAGTATTCGGGCCAACCAAAGATTACATTGAGAGCAAATGGTCGGGATGAACTGTACGTAAGCATTGTTTCCTTTTTCCCGACATTATTATATGAGGATATATCTTGTATATTTATAGTCTGCCAATTTTTCTCACTGCTTAGTCTCGAATTAGAAAAAACAGCATGCCGCCTGAATCTATGTGCAGAAATAATCCAAGATGCTGGTCGCACACAGATTTCTTCTGGATCCATGACAGTGTTAGGAATAGGGCCAGGTGAGTTGGTAACTGGGAAAGATTAAATAATGGGTTAATTCGGGTTTAATAACGTAACGGGGGGAATATGTAAATTAATTTAAGAAAGGGCTTTTTCCTTCAATTGCTTTCCCAGTAAATTGTAATAACAAACTTTATAATTCGTCATTCTGAATATGCTGATTCTGTATCGGTCGTTCATAGGGCCAAGTGCAGTGATCGATCAAGTAACGGGGCACTTGAAGCTGTATTAAACTTGCTGTACATTATATTTGATATATGAATCTCAAACCCTCTGTAAATGCATGTCATGTTTGGCCATATGGTCCCGATGCATTGCATTTAGAGAGGATTCGTTGTATTTGTATTTAATTCAGCACAAACAAGTTTACGACGGTCAGAAAGCAATGGTGTGAGTTAAGTGAAGGAAGGATTGGTAAATATCAAATAATTAAGTGCTGCGGTCAAGTAATTTTATCGAATATTTAAAGCTTTAGCAGCATCAAAATATTTGCGGTTACAAAATTAATAGTTAATGTCACATGTTTATGTTGTCATTGTCTTATAAATAGCTTCTTGTGACCAATAAGATAACGTAATTTCGATTGTGACATCAGAGACAAGGGTGAGATGCATTGCACCACACATTCAATTATTATTATGATGAATCGCATGTTTTGCAGAAAATTGGTGATAACAATAACGAATTATGCATATTTGTTATTCAACCCGCAGATGACAGGGAGCCAAATTGCCCAATGCGGTGACAGTCCTATTTGTGGCACTACGTTTCAAATCCTCCCCACTAGTAAACGGAACGAACCAATGAACATGTATTGTATACAATTTACTCATCGTGTATATACATCTTCAAGCCCACTTCATACTGATAATAAATACGTCATATTCTACAATTAAAATGACTAATCAACCTGACTAACTACAAATAGTAATTTTTTGGGTTCTGCAATTTTGTCAAATAATCGTTATACGAGATTATTCAAAAAGAGCGTAGTGATCAATTACCTCGGTGAAAGTGAAGGTCTCCGGAGAGTTTTGGTTAATTTTGTTTTGATAACTTCTTCCCTCTCATTCAGTGCAAATGGATTATATGGATCAAGTTGTAGCACATGATCTAAATCACACAAAGCATCATCATATTTTTCCGCCAATCTATACAAAACTCCCCTTTCACACAACGCAAATAGATTCTCGGGTTCACGTTCAATAGCTGTATCCAAATCGTTCAATGCCTCATTTAATAGACCAAGTTCCCTATATACTGCCCCTCTATTTCGAAGCGCCTTTGTTATATATCGTTCTTCAGCTCTAGTGGTTGGAGTATACGAAAGCGCTAGATTCAGATCATCAAGTGCTTGACTGAATGACTTCATTGACCGATAGACAGCCCCGCGTCCTATTAACGATATCCATTGATCGGATTGAAGTTTCAACGATCTGTTGAGATCGTTTATTGCATCATCAAACCGATATAATGAATGGTATATTTCTCCTCTGAAACACAATGTCAATGAATTATCCGGTTCAAGTCGAAGAGCTTTGTTGATATCCAGCAATGCTTCCTCTTTACGATTGAGAGCAAGATAGATTCTTCCTCTAATTGTCAATATCCAAACGTCATCTGGCTTACTTTCCAATGCTTCATCAGCGTCGACCAAGCCTTCATAATATTGACCCAAATTAAAGTATACATCAGCTCGAATGGACAGAGTATGCGGATCATTTGGCTGCATTTCCAGGGCACGATTTAAATCAGACAATGCTTCTTCATATCTGTTCGTCTTTTGAAACACAATCGCACGACTGATTAAGGTTGCAGCGTCGTTACTCTCTGCGTCGATTGATTTGTTTAAATCGGTTAATGCTTCTTCATATCTCCCTAATGTACGATATATGTCTCCGCGAGCACTGAGGATAAATGGATCATTGGAATCGATCTCTGCTGCAGCATTGAGATCAGCCAATGCTTCCTCATATCTGTTATACATTCTGAAAACATCTCCTCTGTTCTTTAGCGTAAATGCGTTATTCGGTTCAAGGAATAGTGATCTATTCAGGTCGCGCAGTGCATCTTCATATCGTTGTAACCTTCGATATGCATCTCCTCTCTTCATCAACGCTAGTGCGTAATCCGGCTTAATATCGAGTGCTCTATCAAAATCTGACACTGCTTCGGCATATTTGTCCATATTGCAATAGACATCTCCTCTGTTTGTTAATGCTTGTACGTCGTCTGGTTCTATTTCTAATGCCCTAGTTAGATCTTGGAGAGCTTCATTGTACTCTTTGAGGTGACAATGCGATTCTCCTCTTGACCGTAATGCTACTACATTGTTCGGTTCGCATTGTAATACTAAGTTGAGATCTGTTAGTGCTTTCTTTTGATTACCTAATTTATGATACACGTTTGCTCTAGTACATAGAGCATAGACATTCTTTGATTCTAATTTCAGTGCTTTTGCTAAATCAACTAATGCCTCATCATATCTTGCCCGTCGATAGAATAGTTCTCCTCGTTTGCTCCACGCTTGTGATTTCTTTGGGTTATGTGTTATAGCAGCAGTGAGATCTTCCTTTGCTTTATCTAATTCGTTGATGTTCATGTAAGCTTCTGCTCTATCACATTTCGCTGAATAACTGTTGGGATATATTTCTAACACGTGCGTTAAATGTGTTATGGCTTGTATATAATGTTGAGCTTTGAGAGCCTTTTTCGCTTTTTGCTGTGCTGGATGCCAGCGCTTGGGTCCATTCAATAGAGCAGATTGATGTCCCTGCAATTTTGTTGTGTTAAAGAGTGGCATGGCCTTGCTCTTTGTGTATGGGTCTTTTTCTCTTAATGTGAAGTTGCTTATATCACTTGGGGCTACTTGCGCTGAAGTTTTGGGACTTGACATCCTAGTCTAATAAGGAGACAGTAGAGTATGATTAAAGATAAGTTTAATGCTTTTATAAATGAGCGGTGAATGATAATTCCAGTAAACAGACGTCAATATGTGTGTGCCAAACTACAGTCTATTTTCTGACCTCGCTAAATGTGTCTTGCATGTTATATACGAGTTTCTCGGATTATAATAATTAAGAATAATCTATTTGAGATGTAGGAAGCGTAAAATGTGCAGGTGCTAAGAAACAGATATCTTTATTGAAAAATGAATGTTCAGCTTTTATTTATATGTGCTGTATATAGGAAATGTCCGAAGCAGATCAAGATCGTAATAGTAATAGTGCCACGGGATCCTGCTTAACAGTATGTTTATTTACCCAGCTAATTTGCCTTACATTGGGGCCAAACAAAGTTATATCATTATTTAAAATTACAAACAACATATTAAGATATACATCACATGATTATTAACCATTATAGGCAGCAACATATTTCCTGCGCTAATAAAACTGTTGTGCGATATTCGATTTTTCGCTGTTGTTCCCATTGACAGTATCTCATTTACCACTTTCTGCTCGCCAAGAACCAAGAATGTTTGATATAAATTATCTTTGTGTTGTGTTTAACATTTTTGTCCATGACTTAATATCACCAACCTTAACATGTGCCGTATACCAGTATGGTTATATTATAATACCAAAACAACCTTAATATAGTTATGGTTATAATTTATTAGACACAAAACTTACTGTACAACCTTTCTCATATTGTGCATATCCTTCTGCGTTGCAATCTAAACACATTGTACGACTGCAAACGACTCCGAGAACGTTCTGATCAACCCTAATTCATTCATCATTTTCTATACGTACTTCTATTGCAGGGCATGCCTCGAGGCGATAACTAAACGTATTAATATAGTGTCTCACAACATAAAAAAACGGGACTGCGACTATTCGAAGACAAACAAACTTTAATGACTTTTTATGTCGATAAAAAATGTGACGAATATTTAATTTACTTTGCGTGTAATCATTCCTTTCATCATGTCAAAGCTATTGCCGTCCGGCTGCAACGTAATTATCTCATGAGTGTCATTCGCATTCTCATCGACGACGACCGCTTTCAGAAAGCCAAAATCAGTTGTTATGCCAACAATCCTCGCCCGCTTGTTCAATGACTCGACGGTCACTATTTGGTCACTAGGAATAAAAAAATTTAATAAGTTTTTTAACACGAGAAGACAATAACAATTAGTCATCAACCATCGGATTATCATCTAAAGATCTAATTATTGTCGATCGTCAGTCAGGTAGTTGGAACATTAGTTGGAACATCACTTACGAGTGCAACCATCTTTTATAATATAGGTCAAGGAATACACCAAATCCGCGCTTATTATTAACAAATTCCAAATAAAATAACTCAAACTTTGTGAGAATTATGGCAAGAAGCCCTTCCTGCGTGAATCCTGATAACTCTGTGTTATGTAATGCATTGTACGACGCAATTATCCGATTGATTGCTGTTGTTGGGGCAACATTGTTTGTGTTAACTCCGCAACCTGGGCAAACATATCCATCGAGCGATTATGGTGAATTAGGTGTGACTAATCCCAAATTGAAGACTTTTGGAGACAATGCAAGCCTACCTGCAATTAACAAAAACTCATCTCGCACAAAATGCGAGTTTACCAATATGCCTCCAATCTTCACGTATTCTTTGGATGTCCCATCGCGAGTTGAGACTTCGCCATATATATCGTTTGGCCACTTCAACTTTAGTGGAATATTCTAAAGATAGCATAATGGGTTAACTAACTAGCTCACGAGTTTAATTGCAGAAATTAATTCCAACATTTGGCAGAGAATATCGGAATGTCTTCCAAAGAGACCCCCCCCCCTTTTTTTTTTTTGAGTTGAATTCGCTTTCTGAAACTTCCAAAGTCACTGCTCTATGAATTGTCCAGGGACTACAACAAAGGTATATACATCCCCTTGTCACAAACGTTCTCCGAATTATTAAACTAACCTCATATCCATCCCTGCCTCGAATGCCCTCAACCACTGCCAATCCCAACAAATACTGCACAAACACTACGGATGCCAAGTATATATTAACGGGATGACGTAGCACTAAGGAAAATTGTAAACATCCTGGCGGAGATATCCAAGAATTCCGTCCTCGTCCTCGTCCTCGAATTTGTGTCGTGGCTGTGACAACAAAACCAGTTGGTAGGTGCTGAGTTAGAGAGAAGTTGCTTGGAATAGAAAATACAGCAGATGGTCAAAAAGACAATGACAAATAACAAATATATATATGCGTATATGATTGAAAGAGTAGGTGTGACATAATAAATAATCGTAACATTATTTCTATTAGGGAATCACCAAATTATCTTACTTACTTATCCAAAATAGTTTGAGTACTCGTAATGCTATCACCGAACAAGACGCTCGACCCAAACTCCATTTCTCTCCTCTGACCTAACTCTTCCTTTTGTCTTTCTTTTCTCAAGCATTCGAAAAACGCTCCAATGTCAAACGTCTTGGTAATTTCCACTCCCGGGGGATCATCATGATATACCAACACTGGTATCTCTCCATCCTCCACTATATCCAATTCGCCCCTATCATATAGTCTGAGCAATTCTCCGGATTCAGCGAGATCTTTCACTAGACGGAATGTGTTGTTTGTCATTTTAAGCGTGCCATTATCGGACGTAATAGGCTTGATGTTTCGCAAGAGGCGTTCGGTAAGTGAAGACCGGGATGAGGCGAGGAAGAGTGGAGATAGGCGCGGAACATGACTTTGAGTTGGAGAAACATTTAAAGACTGGAGTTTGAAAAGAGAACACAGGAGATGTGATATCGATGACGGATCAGATAGAGGCGCCATTGAATCATATTGTGATGGATTAAGGATGTTAATGCCAAGAAGGATGGCTGTGCCTTGTCCGATTGAGCTATAGATTATTGCTGGGTGAGCTGTACGTTTATATCGCGCAAGGACTATCACTTTTTGTGAGTCTTTCAAATGAAAATAGCCTCTGTTGAGTGTTGTGGAATTCATTGTTTCTTCATTATTATCGATACTTATTTCATGCGGCATGTTAGGGTAATACTTTCCCAATACTTCTTTATTCAACTCTAAAACAATTTTTCCGCCTCGGCTTTCTTCCTCCTCTTCCTCCTCTTCCTCCTCTTCCTCTTTATTTTCCCATACTTTAAATTCTCCATCAAAAAAACCTAGCTCTCTCTCTTCCCTCCCGACTTCTGCACCAAACTCACCCTCTTCCGACGCATTTTCGTCAATAATTCCCTCCTCTTCGAACGTTCCCCTAGCAGCATACATAGCACCTGCACCGATTCCAACATAATTCCCACCGCCAGCGACATACTCTTGTATTTTCTTGGTAACGGTTGATCGCAGCGATTGTCGATAAGCTGCGTAATCACCATCGGACATTATCAGTAATCTTGTGGAAGACGACCAGGGCTCTGTACGAAGCGCGTTAGAATCAACAACAATTATGTCATAATGCGTCTGGAAGAATAGTTTAAGTCGGGTTAATGTTTGAGAAGTCAAATGAGGAACGGTCGACGTATAGAGAAGAACGTTCATTTTGTGAGAAATGGATGTGTGTATATCCAAACGACAATGAGTTTGTAGATAGGAACAAAAAACTTGTAAACGAGCAGATAAACTTAAGCAGTTCATTGGTGATCTGTCGATCAGCTAAACTGTGACCAAAATCAAAACAGGGTTATGAACGAAATTCAGGGCCCCAATTATTGACGATAAAGAGAATAAATAATTGATGGACATTTACAGCTAACCTGTTCGCTCTTACCTAAGCTTACAAAATTACGAGAGGCTCAGGCTTTGCTGAAGAACTATGTACTGTATATCCAGCCATAGCTTAAAAATTATGGTTTTAGAGTTGCAAAAGTGGGGAAAGATCACACCGTGCACAAACGGTTAAAAAAGAATGACACTGGCCCTTTTGTTTAGCCTAAAAGAGATGTTCACGTGGAGTTCTGCATCCGCATATCGTGTAACATAAGTTTCTCAAAATATACCTACTGCATTATGTGATGATGACGTATATTCCTGTCAATGTAAAAGTATATTCGTCAATAATCAAGAACAAGAAATTGATCAAGACTCGTTTGTTTGCTATGTTTTTTAGAACTATTTCTTTCTTCTGTAAAGCTGTTAACGAAACCCTTGTCCTTTCCTTTCCCCCTTCATAATATTGTAAATGTTATTAATATACAAGAAGGAAAAAAAATTGACAACTTCACTGACGGATAAATTTGTTCTATTAATATTACTATGGATTATATACAAATTATAACGGAGTCGGCCACTTTAGTACGGATCTCCTATGAACTATAGCGGACTCCGTTATAATTCCGTTATTGAACAATGCATTACTAAACTCCGTTCATCGAAAAAATTTCGGAACCGCACTACAGTGATTTAATAGTAAAATCCGCTATATTTAATTAGTGAAACTTTGGTTCCAAGAAAAAAAAATCCGTCCTAAGCGAAATCCGTTATATCAACGAACCGTATATCGACTTCCACTGCGTACGTTGTTAATGATTCATAGTATAGTTGTGAAACCACTAATCCCTATATCGATTAAGAATAATCGTTCTTATTTATTCCCTTGGCAAATAATTGTGACGTTGATGCGCATTATTATAGTGAAATACGTTGTACCCCGAACGGACAGACTACCGAACTAATCCAGCGTATACTGATCTCGAGAGCAATTAGCTATATAGGGTTAGCGTCGCGATCCGGCACAGTGAGCCGTAAGTGTAAAGCCTAATCAAAGGTCACTAACTGTCAGTTTTGTTTATTTAAATAATAAGTGGGAGAAGCCATGCTCCGCTAAATCTCTACGAGTCACATGCCTTCACTCGACAAAGGTAATAATAGGTGATGAGTGCAGTGACATTAGAACTCAGAGGTATGTTACTATGATGCAATATTATGCTTACTGACTCCAAGTAGGCAGACCTGGGAAGGGAATAGTTTTTCATCTTGCTGGACGTATATATGCTTTAAGATGTAAATTGATCTGGTCTTTACAGGAGTGATTATAATGTTTAATAATTTATTTCATGCATAGAGATTATAGTATGATTTATGATAAAATATACTGTATACTCCTACCATCACCTCTAAAAGTTCAAACTTTGATTCATTATCATCACTCCAAATAATGTGATTCCATTCATTGCTCCATCGTCTTTCCCTGGCCCAACAGAATCTCTTGGTCCGATTCCTTTCAGTCGCAGGTGGTTTTCTTACTTCCTACTCGACATGAAAACCAATCTCATGAAGTTTGTGAACGCGATAGACTATACCTGAGGGTTCTTCTCAGTATCGCTTCATGATTGGGCACTGTGTGGTTAACGATTATACAAATCACTTTCGTAATAGCCATCTACAATTATAACTCGCCACGTAACCACATGTCTAGACCGAACGCATTATTCCTTCTAATACTAAGCAGAGAAGCATAACTCTGACGCAACTTAGTCAGTGATGTTATTATAGGCTAAATGATAACTCCGTTAGTAATTACATAGTAATAGTCAACCTCGATAAATCAGTCCGTGGTCTGGCCGACTTATCGAGAGAGGACCGACTTACCGAGAGCACGTGACCTACCGAATATAATAATAATACACTAACTATAACCTACCAAAAGTATACAACAATCGATAAAAATGAGATCAAATTTAAATTACTCAGCAAGTAATGATGCAAATGTTCTGAAATTTAGACCAAATAAACTATTATCAATTTTAATTAAGATATTAAGTTTTTGCCTTACATTTATATGAAGATAAAATTTTTTACTAAAGCACACATTTTGGGTAATAAATCGACAAATTTATGCTCTACGGAAACTATTTTGTTAAATTATCGGACATAATAAGTAACGTTTCCTTTTATTTACTTTAAAGCACTACCGTTGATACGTTTTGTTTTTTTTTTTTAAAAAAAAAAAGTCTGCTAGAATATCTTGGATATATGTGGAGATATAAAAAATTGCTTAAAAAAGTTAAATAATAGCTAGTTATACAACTCTTCTCTAAAAGATTTATAATGTAATGTACTATTACCAAATAATATTACCATAAATATCCACCCATATGTGAAGACAATACATCTTTTGTTTACATGATTCGTTAGAATGACCAAAGGACCTGAATTAACTGACTTTGAGCGTGGTTTATCATTCGTGCTAGCAGTTTTGGCGTTACAGAAGAGGAGATTGGTGGGAAACTAGGTCGTTCCAGAAACACTGTGCATACTGCTATTGCCAAATATAAAGAAACAGAGAGAGATGTGAGGCAGTTAAAACGGATCGTAAAAAGTGATTGCAAGCAACCACTTAGTATAATTTGTGAAAATTTGGCTAAATCAAGTAGAAGGTTGTTAGCAAGTCCACAATTAGGCGGAAGTTACGTGATATGGGGTATAATAGTCGTATTGCTGTACATAAGATAACAAAAATATGAAAAATCGCCTTGGCCTGGGCTAAAAAGAAACATGATTGGTCGTTGGAAGATTAGAAAAAGGTCGTATAGAGCGATGAATCAAGGTTTACTTTATTCAAAAATGATGGCAGAATACGAGTTTGGAGATTACCGAATGAGAGATATAATGTTGACTGCGCTGTTCCTCCAGCACCAGTCGATTTTAGTTATAATGCACTTAATGCAGTGTCGAGAAATATCAACGAAGAATTAATATTAGAAGAAATTAAATCTGATACTGAAACAGACAAATAACCTCATTTAAATGAGGTTTTAATTGCGTAAAGATAAAAATTGTTATACAATATGGTAAGTTATTAAATAATAAGTCCAAAATTCAAATTTTACGTTTTAATATAAGTTTATTTATTTATTAGAACAAATACATCAAAGGTTATCACACATTCGATACTGAAATAGTTCTAATCCAACAGAAATTTGTCTCAATCCTAGACGAAAAACAATGACTCATGCCCCCAAACAAAATACAACCAATTATTACCAAATATCTAAACCATCACCAAAATACCATGTTTATCATTATAATCGAACCGGTGATAAAACCTTTTTCTGTACTAAATGTAACAATTTAAAATGTTAACAATTGATAGTGAGCCCGATAGTGTTGATAGTGACAATATTAGAAAAGAAAAAGATATCAATAGTGTTAATAACAATAACAATAGTATGATTTATCCGTTAATCAGTTATTTTTTAAAATAATAAACAAATATACGTGGGGGTGCTGAAAAGTTTTGCGCGTGGACCTTTATTTCCAGAAATTTCATAATAATTATCGATACACCTATTTCATTCCCTCAAAATACTCTTCATTAACTTCTATGCACCGTTGCAGACGATTTTGCCAACTCTGGAAAGACTTCTTATAGTCGGTTTTTGGGATGGTTTCAGCAACTGCCTGAGCAGCCCTTGTCAAATTTTTGACTTTATCAAATCTTTTTCCATTCAGTTCTTTTTTGATTCGAGGAAATGAGAAAAAATCACAAGGAACACAGTCTGGACCGTATGGCAAGTGGGGGAAAAGTTTCACTCGTTTGTTATGAAGATACTCTGTTATGATTGTTACCTTAGGCGGTGCGGCATTGTCGTAATAAAGCATGAGGTCACGAACAGTTGTTCTTCCCTTTTTTCTGGAGGCTCAGCTCATTATGTAAATGTAAGAAATTTTTTCATGAGAGATGCCGATTCCGTTGGCTAATTTTCTAATAAAAATGTGCGGGTTATTGCTAACAATATCCTCGACCTTGGCAATTTTTTCTGATGCACGGCTTCGCGAGGACGTCCAAAACGAGCCTTGTCTTAATTTCTTCTTCCCCGTCTTTGAATATAGCAATTCAGCGTCTAATTGTGCTGATAGACAATGCTTGTTCCCCTTCTACATTCATCAGCTCCTCGTGGATTTGAGTCGCATTTCTGCCATTTTTCCAAGAAGCGAAAATAAAGTATCGTTGGTTCTCACGGCTCGTTTTCTTTCAGCCGGTTTACTATAGTTTACAAAAAATGGTTTCTCGACAATGAGATAATAAATTTCCATCTACTTTTTTTCGTTTGTTACATGAAAACATGCGCATTTGATGATTCTTCCCATTTTTAGTTAAACTGATGCAACCTCTAGTTAGAGAGCCACACGCAAAACTTTTCAGCACCCCCACGTATATACCTCACCAGGTAAAAATCACCAGGTAAGGTTTTATTTACGTAATTACAAAATGAACTCGTTATTTCAAGTATCGAAGACTATTTTGAAAACGTAAAAACACGCGACTATTTTAAAAACATCGTGTACTTATGTTAAATGAAATGGTTAATTACTGTTTCACAACATTGATCCTTTAAAAGACCAAATTAATACGTTTAAATTATCATACACCAATTACGTTAAACAATTAAATGAATCTATATTTAAAGTCGGGAAAATAAGCGGCGTTTTTTTTTGTGTTTTATTCGACAATAATCGTAAAGTTTACATTAATAGACGTATGAATCCCGAGAAGGATTTTTACAATTATTATCAATCCGTTGGTGGTGAACTTGAAAATAATAAATCATACGAATCATGTGCCCTCCGTAAAACATTAGATGAATCCGGCGTTTGTGTTGAAATCAAATCATTATCATTCATTACGATCGACAAAATATATGCTATTTTCGTCGGATATATCGGCGAACAGATTCCCGAAAATAAGGAACCCACTAAACATGCTGATGGGCAATTGGTTGACTAAAAACGTTGAAGTTACTCAAAAAGAGGGAGGTAATATGATATGGAAAGTACCAAATTTTGCCCGACGTCAGGAAAATCCCAATTTCGAGGATCCCGTTCTTCAGTATTGAAAGGAGATAAACCCGTTTAATATATTTCATTGTCTGCAATTCGCTGGTTTCTTCTTGCCAAATCTTTTCCTGCTCTCGGACGTATATTATTGTCGGCTCAAAAAATTGACTGTCAATATTACTTAGAAGGTGAGTTGATTTCACTTGAACCCCTCGCTGTTTTAAATTATTAAAATTAAGTTCATCCCCCCGGCGAGCGAGATTGTCTATAAAATTAACTATCATTAATTACAAAATTAAAACAAATAAGAAAAGAAGATTAAATGGAGAATTCGTTAAAATGGAAGAAGTATTAATAAGTGAGATTGATAGATAGTTCATTGGAAATCCAAAACAATATAAAAAATTGAAACTTAGTTTAGATTTTTTACACACAAGATATTTTATTTATTAAAGTTCAATAAAGATATTATAAAAATAAATACAAAATTTGGTCTTAAAAATATATTTCTTCCCTGCCGGGGGGGGAATATAAATTGGGTTTAATGGTACGTTTCACTGCAATCTGACCCGACCCAGATCAAAATAAGCTCAGAGTGATATTTATTTCGACCACACTGTAAAACCGGGTATATAATTATCGCATACTCTACATGCCTATCATGGGAGAAACGAATACTATTACGAAAGTCTGCGGCTAAAAAGTCTATGTAAAGATTCTGTGTGATGAAGGTACTTGTTAATCTTTTATAGGTTGACTAGTAGTGCTGTATTTATGAGTTATAATTAACTGAACGTTTCGGTCATTTATAGTAGTCGGACGATTTAATAGCAATTGATCATACGATAAATTTATTGTTAGCGTTTTAAGAACATATATGTTTCAATCACTTCATGATGATAAGTTCTAAATCGATGATAGATCATATCGATCGTATGACTTACCTTTATCTCTCGTGCTAATTGATAAACTGGTGGAGGCTTCCTGTCTCTTCAGCATACATTCACTGTGATGCATATTGGCGAAGTGAAACAACTATTACTAAAAGAAAAAACTGTGTGTGTTAACGAGAATATATATGATATGATCTGTGCTATACATGACGATTTACAACATGCTGCCATTTCATGAGCTCCAACTTTCATGCATGTAGCATTGTACAAGTCGACGACCTATGATAACCCTAGTATTAGCAAAGCCCATGTAAGTGTTGGAGTTTGTAAGAAGTTAAACGGCTGACCTTGAGCTAGCAGACTTCATGAGTTGGAAGACATACCAAATACGACTGTCTCACTGATTGAGGTGGCGAGACGTCTAGCGCTAGTTAATAGTGAATGTCAAACACATAGACTGTTCAACAAGAAAGTGTTCGTAAGAGGTGAATAACATGTAGTCAGTTTATTTTGATTTGGGCCAACCCAAATCGAATTGCGATTGGGTCGATTGCGATTTGGGTCAGAACAAATGTAAAAGCCTGTTACAACGTCTTTCTTAGTTAAAAAAAGGAAAAGAGTCTCATTCTCATCACGAAATCAAAGAATATCGAAATGAACGTTTCAACAAAGGATTACCTATGAATGCGATATATAATCCGAAAATTCGAAATAAAGTCAAAATATACAATGAAGTAACTGAAGAAAAGATTCATTGTACACAATGTGGATCACAACTAGAACAACAAATGGATGGAATGGATGGAAAAATTGCATCAAAAATTGTTCAACGTGTTATACGTATTATGCGCCAGATGAAGAAGGATGTGAGATGTGCAAACATTGGACTAAGACGAACCCAGATGAAAAACCAAGACGACGAAGACAAAATCGAAATTACACAAGAAATAATTCAATACTTTAGTGAAATTTATCAACAGTTAAATTATAATTGAAAGTTTTTAATCGCAAGAATTAATTATAAAATATCTATTTTACTTCAATTATATCTTATTCAATTCAGTCATCACCAGTTAAAATTTCAAGAGCGTAGCATTCGTGGTTGTAAAGTTATTAGCGAAAATGTGGTTTCGATTGATCAATTCGCTCATATTTATTTTAGAAACGATTATCGAAAAGGGATAACCATCTGATATAGAAATTAGCTTATTTATTTCATTGACGCATCTCGTATTCGTTCAATCAACTGAAGAAAATTATTTATTATATACTTTAAAACAAATATAAGACAACATTAAAAGTTTCAAAATCTCCCACAAAACCACCCAACAAGTGTTACTTCTTCGTCGACATCGAGGTTGATATCTTGCTAAATCTTCAATTATATCTCCTCTAGTAGTGAGGATGATATCGAATCTTGACAATCTAGCCCATAAATGTGCCCACACAGAGAACCGATTACCCACCAAAATAGCTACAGTATCTCGTGGGCAATCAGCAAGCATCCCCTTTAGTTGTAGAACGTAGCCCACCCCTAGAAATACAATATTGTATTAGTATAAGTATAATGTTCAATTCTTTTATAAAAATAAATAAAATAATTACCAAGTTCATTTACGTGGGTTTTACATCGAATGACATAGTATACACCGTTATGGTGAAATGCTATGTCGACTCTTCCATCTGTTAATCTGGGGGGACTATATAGAGAAAATAATGAGTAAATGTGTCATCATAGTCAAGACCAATTGAAGAACGTTCACAGCAGGCCGTCCACCGTACGTCAAGATTGGGTACCTGACTGGCGACTTTCGCAAGCTGTGGCCACGAAGCGCTTTCAATTCAATGATCAATGTATCCTATTCACCACAAGCCCGAGTTCAAGTCTACAGACGGCCTTCGGTAACGAAGCTTGAACACTCACAACTATTCATTTATCATATAAACATCAAGAACCATAAAGTATTTTACATGTATCCTATTCACCACGTCCGTAAGCTTTTTCGGTAACGAAGTTTCGATTTAATTTACACCCTATGTGCTTTCAAAAACTTCGATTTACACCTAGTGACAGCGTAACTTCAGATACATATACTTGAAAATGATATCTTCATAGTTATGACATTCGATTCTTCGATTTACAACTAGTGGCAGCGTACCTTCGGATACAATAACCATTGAACAATACCCAGTAAAAATTCTTACCTCGTATTTGTAATATACCCCACTTCCCTTAGAAGTACATTAATCTCATCTTCAAAATTTCTCCCTCTTTCAACAGGACTCGCCATTCTAAATGGAAAGATCTAATATATAATATCTCACAAAATAAAGAATAAAAACCAACTGTTTCTTACCTCCGAAGAAAAAGAAAAAAAAAAGGTTTGATTGAAAACGTCGAAATGTAGATGATAGATTGATAAAGATTAGTAGTTACGCGATTTGTGTAATGTGATTTTCACATGAACACGTAATCACACTGTTAGTAGCTGATGCTGAAATCCGGCTGAAGCTGAAAATAACCAATGGGGTTAGAGAATAAAATCTGATCAACCAATGAAAGGTCATTGTTTCAGCTTCAGCCGGATTTCAGCATCAGCCGTGACAATAATTAACATGTCTTATAAACGTACAGGAGATATTGTACTGAATGTAACAATTTAAAATGTTGTAATCAATGCCCAGATTGTGGTTCTGAAATTTTTTCAGATCCAAAAGATTTCGATTCCAATGATTAGTGAAGTTACTAGCATCAATAATGACGATTATATTGAGTATAACGATAAAAGAATAGTTCCGTTTTACAATTATATGTTATCATATTTAATACCATATGTCACCAGGTAGGCGTAAATATAATACATTGTTATTTCGGTAAAGATACTAGCGTGCTTTTCGAATAGGATTGATACTTGCCAATCGATTCTATTTAGTACTTTTGCATCATAATTTAACGTTAGTGTAGAGAGATAATTTCCCGACCGATAGGCCTTGAGACTAATCCCATCAGAGAAATCGACGTGATACTCGAGGTTAAGCAATAATTCAGGAACAGCCCGATAATATATAGTCAAAGGTCACTAGTTGTTGTTAGTATTTAGTTTAAAGTAAGAAGAGCAAAAGCTTCCTTTGGAAAAGGACTAAATCCCAAGTCTAGTGCACCGCCGCTCTCCCAGGTGTGACAACTCAAAAAAGATCAATCTAAATAGCATTAATTATCCATTCCTCTGAAGTTTATAGAATACCAGACACACACGAAATTATTGATGGAAACAAACCATTTCACTTAATACTCGAGACAAAAATTCGATCTCACTAATCCTATGCTTCCATCTTTAGGTAATGAAGAATTACTCGCCAGGATTTAATATCTCAAATTTTAGATGCTTCTATAAATGTAATGCATACTAATTTGGGTAGTTATGCATCAGAAGATTGTTTTGTTCATCAGATGCTAATAAATGTAGTTGGTATATTATTTTCCCTTATGCTTGATTTGTAGATTATACAGAGAACTTAAGGGATTTACGAAAGAAGTTATTAAATTAGTTGGGGAACCTTACTCTAAATTTATTGATATTGGGCCTCCCAAATCACGGTTTAATCTTCGGCTTCTCGGATCTGCAAAAGAAGGACGTATAAAGAGACCTGTAATTTCTTCTCTTAAGCGCTAGAAAATTATTTGGTCCAACCAAAATCAGATTGTTCTGTGATTTGGCCACGAAGTTTTTCCAACAGAAGCAGAATTCCAACCCATTGAAGATGAAAATGCTTTGCTTAAGGGGGCTACTTCAGTCACTCAAAAATACGAGTGGCTTAATGTTGGAATAATCAAAAACAGATTTATTAATCTTCAAGCACAATTGTCTGCAGATGTCCTATATGTAAACTTATACATGAAAAAGATCAGCTATATGAGTTTCTTCAAAGAAATGGGTGTTTTGTACTTAAGTGCTATTGCTAGAAACAGTACAAACCAGATCACAAAGAATTAGTATTCGATAAGGTGTCAGACAAATTGAGCCAGGCGAAAAAACTAAGAAATGGAAATTATGTGAAAGATTGGCAAAAATTATTAATGTTAATGAAATAGAGGATTACTTATATTTGGAGGTTTATTCGGATTTTTAAATAAGGAATCTACTACAGCTCTTATCCGCTCACCTGTAGCTACTGGAAGAACAAGGGGTTTAAGAAAAATCCTTGATTCCTTAGCAAAAACCAGAGCAAGTTTACCTTGTTTTATTTGGATTTCGTACTGCAAACTCTTAGAACGAGACTAAAGTTAAAGTTGAAACATTACAAAATTCAAAACTTCGCGTGTGCCATTATCAGGAAAACCAATGTGACTTAGCTATACGCGACTGGGACGTTATCATTGTCCAGGTTGAAAGTACACGCATCATCTTTTTCTATATGGAAGTCGTTCTCATGTAGTTATTCTAGATGAAACCAATTCTATTCTGCACCAAATGTCCAGTGGAATTCATGCTCGAGAATCGGAAAATGCTATGCGAGATTTGTTAAAGTCTGTTACCCATGTTGTAGCTATGGATGCTTTTGCAAATGAATCGACTTTAACATTTTTAAAGCAATATCGGGATAAGATATTAATATACGGATTTTCGATAACAAATACCAGCCACGTAAAGATTAATTTGTAAAAATTTTTTATGGCCCAAATAAAGGATCGGAAGCTACGCGTATAGGTCTTAAGATGCTTCAAGAAAGTAAGCGCGTGGCCTTTTCTATGACTTCTTGTAAAAAATCTCGGGCTTTGGCGCTTCAGATCAATAAATTGCGGAAACCAGACGGTCCTTCTATTTTAGCGTGCGTGTTTATTTTGGTCAGACAACGTCAAGATGAGAATACTCTGCGGTGTTACTAAATTAAGAACAGATGGTTGTATCATGTGACTTATCGATCTGACGCGTAACCCATTAAAACAAATTACAGTCAACCCTCGGAAAACCGATACCACTTAAAACTTTTTCAATTCCCGTGCAATTATATATGATAAACCCCTCGTAAAAAACCGATATTACATATTAATATAATATAGACATCGCAAACCGATATAATGTAGTACAAATGACGTGACCTGATTCTTGCAATTTCATTGGTCAACCAATGAAAGATTTCGCATTAGCCAATACCTCGGAAAACCGATAACCTTGCAAAACCGAGGTTTGACTGTACATTATTGGAATGACACCTTAACTGCCTAATTCTAATTTACCTATCTTACCCCCATCAAGTTGTAGATCCAGCGGGAGGTCCACAACGGGAAGAGATCAGGCAATAGGATATTTGCTTGGGCAGTAGTGTTTCAAAACGTTTGGCATATCATTTGCACAGTGATTGTGTCTTCAGATTCCCTTACAGCAATATGGGCAACCGGATGGTCTGGTATGCAACTGTCACATGGACCAGTGATGCATTCCTCAAACATGTGGACAGTATTTTTTGTGTGCCCCATGCACATATCACATAGACCTGTTTAGTTGGAAGGGCTACCCTCCACGCAGTGCGTTTTTGCCACTTAGTATTAGTAGCACAGGCATCAAATTTCTTGTGGCACCACCGGAACTACGCAGAAGAATACATACGTCATCGCTGTGTTGTTTTAAACATCACTTCATATAGGCCGCAGAATCTGATGTAAGATTTGAATTACAAGTGTGCACTAATTTTGTTGTACCATTATGACTACTATCTGTAGTTCATCTATAATGATTGAATCTCGTTTGCCACTAACAGTTTCTGTACGGGTTGTATGGAAGAGAAGGCCCTCCTGGGATAATTACTAGTGACGTCAAAGTTATATGTCAACGATTCTTTACCCGCTCCAATAGTCTTTGTACAAAAGAACCTCTTTTATTCGAATCTTTAACGATAATAATTATGCTGACTTGCTGATATACAAGTTGAATGGAAATATTAATACACGACAGACTTTCTTTATTAGGAAGCTGATATGAATCAACACCAATAGATAGTAAAGGGACATGACATTAGTTTTTATCATTACTGCTTTCGCTATTATTACTAGCATTTACTCCGTCGACATTAAGTTTTTTTTGGACTAAATCACTTAGATCCTCGGATGATTCCGTCTTAGAAGTTCCACTTGTTCCAGTTGTAGACTCTTTGCTCGTCTTTTCAGATGAGGAGACTGTATTTGCTTGCTCCGCCTGTGTCCCTGGTTGACTTGATACCTGATGAATAGGAGCAGTAGCAACAACAGGTTGTCCATCTGGACCATGATGAATAGGTGCAGCAGGTGCCGGATACATGGGATAATAGCGATACTGTGGCCCAAATGTCGGTGAAAGCGAACCTTGCGGATATGGACTATGAAATACGAGAGCCAAGAGTATCGCAGCATGTCAGAGCCTTTCGAGCAACTAACCATCAAATACTATTAACAATGAGAGAAAAACATTACGCTGCAGGTTGTACTCCTTCTGGATAGTATGGAATATAAGCAGTTGGTCCCGGAGGCGATGCGGAGGCGGCCATCCCCAACATATGCTCTGGCGTCACTGGTACCTGTCGATGATAGCGACCAGTTAGAACCAATGCAATTACACGCATGACCGATCGAATGTCATTAGATAGACTTACCCCACCGATAGAAGCAAATTCGCGGGTTCTCCACATCCGCTTTCTAGCGGTTCCTTTCAATTTCTTTTGTGCCAAAGAGTCGGCAAACCTCACTTGTAGAGGTAAGTTTGCTCCGGGAAGTTGATATCCATTGAATTGTTGAATAATAGCTTGCGCTGAGTCGCGATCCTCCATTCTAGAATGTTCAAAATAAATAATGACCATCTGCGTATTGTTCCACTTTGTGTATCATATAAGTGCCAACAAATACCTCGCAAATCCTACTCCACGACTTGTACCATTTGTATCTCTTAGAATACGATTAGATAATACTTTATATGGCTTAAATAACTCTTCTAATTGCTACGCAAATAGTCGTGTAATAAAAAATTGAATGTAAGAACATAGTGCTCTCAAATGGGATGAAATTCTTCCAACTAATAATACCTGCTCGTTCATATCTAATGGTAAATTCGACAAGTAGATGTTGGTTGACGCCAAGTCTTGTAGGTTCTTTAATTTTGTACTGAATGATTCCTTTTAGTCGTATAGTCAATGTTGTTAGTATAGAGCAACGAGAAACTTGTACAGTTAAACAGCAGATAGAAATAACGTATAAATTACACTCACATAACCAACCTTGGCGAAGGAGACTTGCAATCCTACACGCGTCAATTGCTCAATTGCATGCTTCGCCTGATCTTCTGTCTCGTACATTACAAAACCATATCCTTTACAATCACCTTGTTTCTGGTCAATGATAGCTTTTGAAGAGGTGATGGAACCATATCTAAATAGATGTTTGATTGGTTAATGGATCAAGGTGAATATAAAAGTTTTCAAAAAAAAAAAAAAAACCAACAACACTCTACTAAAGAGATAACGAGATACAATGGTAGCTATTAACGGTCTGTTGTATTCTATGCTTTCTTCGTACCGCAGTGTCTCCTTCATAGAACAAGTCGAGCACGATGCTAAACGTAATAATCTGTTAATACTCACATAGAACACATGCTATGCAAAGAATCGTCAGTAGTCGTAGGAGGAAGCCCACGAATATAAATATTAGTTGTCTTGGTTGGGTTATGATAATTGGGCATATTTGAAGGTTGATTTGATCCCGAATCTCTCCGACCATAGCTGTAATGCTGTGGAGAACGTGCAAGATGAATACGGTGATTATTGAGCGGTCCTACTTTCGGAGAAGGAACTCCAGGACCGGGTAGATATTGTGGTGGCGGGGAGTTTGGAGCTGAAGAGGATGTATGTGATAGCGTCGGTGAAAGTGTGTGAATAGGATGCATTGTATATGGAGATTGAGGGGTGTAGACGTAAGGATGCATTGGAGGAGAATGAATAATGCCAGTTGGACCAACTTGTGGAGAAGTGGGATAATATGCTATAGTAGGGCTAGTAGCACCGAAGTATGGACTCAGGGACTGTGGTGGTAGAGAGGGAGAGGCTTGGGCCTGCATAGGCGGCGTTCCCGGATAAGCAGCACTATATTCGGCCGGATAATACTGTGAATATTGAGGATGCATCCCGTATTGACCATAAGCAGCGAAAGCATTAGGATCGTTGGGGTCGTAACCAGCGCTCATTGTTGCCTGATAGGCTTCTGCAGCAGTCGCTTCTATATAACTCGGGGTCCCATTATGATAATAATACGTGGGTATAGGTGACAGTGGTAGTGGAGACGCGCTAGTGTTGTTTGGTGTGGAACATTCCTGAGGAGCAGTTGATTTGACATCTTTTTTTTCCGCTTCCTTCTGCTCATTTTCGGATGAAACGGCAGCCGAAGGGGTTTCGGCTTGCTTGGGTAGAGAGCTAGTCTGTTCGGTCGGTGGGGAGTCTTTCTGTGCACTCATACTGAAAATATTTCAGTTTATAATAAATTACACATATAAAAAAGTTAAATTTGCGTATGCTCTGCGGGAAAGAATGGTTTTATTTTTCGTCTGTTCGAGTATTCTCTATGGTGGTACATTGATTGATGGTAGAGTAACAATTAGATTACGATTATAGAGCATTGTATTAATCGCGTGATTTTAATTTGGGAACACCTAACCTAATATCATTGGAATAATGGATAATGAAAATCTCTTCAACCATTCCGACATTTCATACACCGCTTATTCCCAGAACGTTGAGTATTAGAACTAATAACAAAGCCACAGAAACGCTGGATGCCACAGATTGTCTACGTCATATTTATTCTTTATCTTTCCTATTTTGTCTCAACATTAAATTTATTTGGGACGTGTATAAACGATGTACAACACAGGTCCAGTCTTGCTTTCCAGCAGATTCGTAAAATTCGATTTTTTTTTTGTAACTTTATTATAGCTTTGTTCGTGATTGCATGCAAAAGGCAATTAATTATTTCGACTGTAAACCATTGTCCGTGCGAATATCATTCTCGACACATCCTTAAAACCTGTAATATGGAGGTCAAGTATGCCATTTAGTAAGGAAGCCGACATTTATAATTCAAAAAGAAATTTGCCTGTAAACATAAGCACTCTTTGTGATGCGAATTGTCAAGCACTTTTTTTATTATGTTGTGGTTAAAAGTAAGGTAAATTGGTAATGTAAAATCTTCGTTTGTTGTATGCTTTATTAGAAAAACGCGAGTTGTTGCAGATCCGTTATCACTTTGCATTTTGCACAATGATAATAAAAGATTCCTAATCTGGTCATATACTACAATAGGTATGTAAACGTCATAGTAAATAGAGCACGTGTACTGCGGTATTTTTCCAAAACGGCGTATCGCTTATTCGAATATGAACTTTAAAAATCCACATCTCCACGTGTTTTAATTAGTTTAATATATATTGAATAATCAAACCATCGCCATTCATCATACGAGTATGAACGAAAGTGGGTTTTCTCTTTATACGGGAATTCACATAGCGGACAAAAGAACGCCGTGTCTTATCTTTATAATTTAATTACGTGTATGCATCAAAATCTCGACTACTATAGCATTCAAGCAGTTAGGAAATGTATGCATTTAGGAAGTGTCAAAATAAATAGGGGACACCGATTCTTGCTATTAGAGGCGCCCACTTTTTGACCACAACGGTCGAACAGAAGGCTTCTCGGAAAGGCTGAACATAAAGGTCAGCAATCAGCATTACCTCTCTCGAGTGTGGAACACGAATTGGTATGGAACAACAGGCGCGTAACGATATTGAAAAATTAAGCAAAAATTCCCTTTAGAACTCAACGCATTATGTAACAACTGTTACATAAACTATGTCAGATAAAAGGAAGCTCTCAGTATTGATATTAACACGTCTGAATTCCTCGCCGACAAGAGACTAGGAAATGTCCTATTGTTAGTAGAACAAAGCCAATGTTGATTTAATACTGCTTCTGAACAGAAGCGCCGAAAGACCGCAAGCTTTGTCTATTCAGTAATTACATCTACATCTCAACACACGTGCATCAAATGAGTTAAGGGTGTCTTCAACAAAACGGTAGACAATAAAATATATTAAAGTCCCAACGGAACATATTTCTTGACTTTCAGCATGATCCAATATCACAACATTTAAAGACGAAGTCGCGGAACCTTCAATATTTAACTATTATAGCGTGGTGCAGCTATTTGTTCACACGTAAAGATTTATTGACGACAACTTTTACCAAACCGTCTATTATCCAAGTATTAAATTCAATCAGCTAGTCATTATCTTCCGTACCTGTTAATTCGAAACGGTAGTATCAATATAAACATCTAAACAAGAAAAGCCTCAATTGTCAAGGATGACTTACTTTTGGAATTCCCATTCTCTGTTATCTAGAGGACATACTTGTCTTGTTTTCAACCAACGAGAAATACAGTGAAAATGAAACGCATGATTACAAATTCCCCATGCACTTGTTCAGGAATGGAATCAATAGATCTTGTGAGATTCAACTATTACAGAATCGAATGACTTGAAAATAAAACAGTATATACATACACTGTACATTCTTCACTTGTTGCCGAAGCTTGGTTCGCTTGACATTCAATACCTATGTTTTAATAAACGCAAGTTGATTCGTTTTACTCTAACAGATGATAACAGCCGCATCTTTTTAACGCTATTTTAGTTCTTACATAGATCCATAATATGATTTCGACAAATAGCGCAGTTATCTACAACGATGTCTATATACAGGAAGGAAGCAAGGACACAAATTGGTGATTTATCTGCGGTTGTAAGCACTTTCACAAAGACGGCATGAAACGTACCCCAAGCCCATAAGGCGACTGCGTTCCACTAGTGCAGTTTAGATAAAACATTTCAGCAGTTATTGTGAGCAATTATTTCCTAACGAAGGAAAAGAAAGGAAACTTAGCCCGATTCACCACATCAGAGCCAGAGTTGGAATACCTTCTTAACTTCAAACCTCCTTTTCCCCTCTTTTTCTTTCTTTTGAGTAGTTTTAGAACTGTTAGGTGATTCGTCAATGTCCATAGCCTCAGTAGACATCATTTGTTATTGTATTATTCACTTGGTGCACAGAAATGGGGAGAAAGAGAGAGTTCATGGTGTATTCCACTTGTAGTTGACAAGTAAGTATGTGGCCAACCAATCGCATTGTTGTGGCTGACGCAGTTACAAATCGTCACAAACTACTCTACATTCATATCAATATATACAATGATTGAAGAAGACCAAGTCAGTTATGAGACTAGCAAATACACCGACCTAATTGAAAAATATAACAGAGATCCATTGACATACCTTAAACAATACTATACCAAATATTATCATGTTTCAACTGGTATTCCATCTTCTTAGTATAGCATTAATAACTATTCGTCTTCTGCCTACCGATGAACTTATCCTCTTCAAATGACATGATCATCTTGACCAGATAATGATAGCACAGAAGACTACTATATCTATCAGTCTCCGAATAAGTTATACACGAATTTTACGTCTTTCTCTCAAGAATTACTTTTTAAGCTTGTAACATTATCTAAATAAACAATCCGTCTTTTCGTTTCTTGAAGACTTTGCGTCTTAGGACTCGCGTCAACCCACCCGCTTCTTCGGAATCATCATTCATTGATCCATTCACCACACAAAGTTAACATCTCATTTCCAGATAAAATAGTAAATGTGACGAACAAGAAACGACCATTGCACAAGGAAACAGTCATCTGTGTGATCAGTATCAATGAAGAATTTGACTCCATCACAAACTGTGCCAAGTCTACCGAGTACAAAGTGAGAGCATGTCTGGCAGGATGGATAGTTGAGTTCAATAAACGTCTTTTGGAAGATGAGGAATTATTATTTCGAAAGGTAACTTGATAGATTGTTGAGTGACGGTTTTATCGCGAGTGGTATAATATATTACCATGATTTTGTTCTAGCCATACACAGAAGGATATATTGCCATTGTCAAGCCGAAGCATGAGAACACACAAATAGCACTTGGAAACTGTTTGACTGAGGACGAATATAAAGCATTGCGTGGATTGGATTGAAATCATACATGTCGACGTAAAGTGACAAGTCTCTATTCCAATGTAGAATGCTGTCCATTGAAACTAAAAACGTCTATTGACGAGGAGTTGAACCTTAAGTTGAACTCTACAAATACTGTATCATGTAAATTGTACAAAACATCAAAAGGCTATGAGAACCTAATCAGATTTTGTGTGAATGAGCCAACCATTCATAGATAAAGTTAACAATGAAATGGAACTATAATGTCTCTTACGTTTCTGTGGACGTACTGGGTTTGTATATTTGGATGAACTAGGTTATTTATAATGTCACAGCGCGTTAAGATGAAGCCAAAGAGACTTATAACGAACTGGGGAATACAATAATATTAATGGATTCGTACGATTAAAATCCACTTTATAGTCTCGCAGAATAGAGCTATAACAAAATTGGAGATTAGTCTACCGAGACAACTGATAAAGTAAGTGGTCCAAAGGTTAGGTTTTTTATTTCATATAAAGAATTTGTAAATCACGACCATACTTTTGTCACCACCATCCCGTACCTTCTTCAGTTATAAAGATCAATAATATTCCTTTCTAATAAACGAGTAGGTCTTTATACTCTGAAATATATTATTCGTTCTCTGGTAATTATCGGTATAGTTGTGAACCCTATTACTATATCGATTATGAATATCCGCCTCTTGTACCGCGCTTATTCGCTTAAATACAATAACCCCTATTACTATTACTATAGGCTTCCGAATTAATCCCGGAAGGGACTAGTCGATTAACTCGAGGGCGAATAATCGTCTAGGATTATGGTCTATCGATCGACACAGTGTCGTGAGCATAGTTTACAGATCACTAACTGTCGTCGTATTCTAACTAAAGTAGGAGAAGCCACAGAAGATAGTTAAATCCCAAGAGATTGCTTCCCCGCGATTGTTGACTCTTCTGTGGCTGTTCTGATTTTTTTACCCAAACTTTTGTTGCAATAAAGATTATATAAAAAGCCATTAATATTAATTCTTCCTCTTTGTTTCCATCTTTAGTATTTTGTTTATAAAGGTGCGACTGTGTTATGCAAATTTAAATTCAATATACTGATTTACATTGGTGTTGCCATCAGCGAGATACATAAAAGTTGATATACGAGAGGGGATTTATATATAAATCCGTTCTATAACTAATGTTGCTAATAGAGAGAGGTTGATATTAAAGAGGTGGGCTATCATTGGCCCAATGAAGCGTTCTATAACGCAACGTTGTGATTACATCACGGGCGGTCTATAATATTTAAACTTTACAACCCGGCGATTATTTAATGCATGTTATACTTGTAAATTGATAAGAAAGTCGCACATTTAGCTGGTTTAAACGCATAATTGTATCATTTGCCTGTAACCACGGCTTAACTTAGACTAACTGAATATTTGCTAAAAGTTTTCGGGTATATAATAATAATCAGATGCAAAGTAGTTTGTTTTTTTGAACATTGTTGACATCCTTAAATCACTAACGCTGTGATAGCTGTCATGAATGTCATATTTTGAGGGCATTTATATTAAGAATTCAAATAATATTATTAAGACATTTTTTTCAGATCGTCGGAACATGAGAAGGAAAACCAATAATCCCTTCACCGATTCACAATTGATTGTGGATATCCTTATAAGTATCATGTAGATTGACGGATGCTAGCAATTTTGAACATTTGCTACTAACAGATCTTAAGTAATGGAAGACAGATATAGGCCGATTCGGGATTATTGTTACGGCCGGTTTGGGAGCGATTAATCTTTCGCGTAGGGTGTTCTTCCGACCGGGGGATGTTACCAGATTTAGCTTTGCGCTACTGCCCTTATTGCGGTAGTTGTTCAATTAAGACTGAATTCTAAATCTACAAGTGACCTATTTTGTATAATTAAATTGCGCGCTTCCTAACTCCTCGTAATCCAAATAAGGATACCTACGATAGAATAACAACAACAATTATTCTACCGCAGAATCGAAGGGGAATAAATCTGTTTAATATTTAAACAGGGTTTGGTGTTTCGACTAGTCGTGTTCTGTCACTTGTCTCTTGATAAACTAATTAAACAATATTCGTTTCAATAAATAATTATTGGCTCGTTCCTACAGCTTAAAGGAGCCGTTTATTAGTGTGTCCGGTCAAATAATTAATATTTCAACGATGAAAGAAAGTAAAATTTCGATTTCAAAGGGAATCGTTTATTTGATTATTAATTCCGCTGTTATTATAGCAATACTAACATGAACAACATGAGAATTTGACGATGGGGTAAGGGCCGCCTATATACCTTTAGCGTTGCCCGAAATGCGAAACGAAGGTTAAATCTTTAAACCAATGAATTCTAAGCTAACTAATGGCGTTTGTACCATTGCCCATAATAATAATGCGAAATAGCTGTACTACCATTCTAAAATTAAATGTCGATCACGGAGTTATTTTACCATGTGATTTGCTTATCTGTCGGCTTGCCTAATTAACTACAATCCCCATGTAACAGACATCAATTAACAAATTAAGGCTAAGCAACAAGCCCAATCTCAAGGTCAGCTAATTGTTCACTGGTACTGGCTGGCACAACTGAGGAAACACTTATAAATTCAGTTTATTTTATATATTAAAACATGATTAACTATTTCATGTGAATGTTTTTGTTTGCAAAAAAAGAAGTATGAAAAAAAATAATTAATTGGCAAAACCAAATACATTTCCACCAACGCGTTTTACTTTTTTTCCTCTAGAACCCACCAAACAACGAAAGCAACGAACACTAGCAGGATGATTTTTGCATGGTTTAGGAGATTCTATGTCAATTTCTTCATCAATTTCTTGTTTTTGTTTCTCTTGCAATTCTGGATTGTTGCTAGTAGGGGACTTGAAACTATCAGAAATTGCTGTACCAGTGTGTTTGTTACCCTCTTCTTGGACCATCTTGTTTTGTTTAATAGACTCTTCAGTTTGATTAATATGTGCTTTAATAAGCTTAGAAATATCATCATCCACTGTAGAAGATCTTGAAGGCATGGAATCTGACTCTGCTTTCTTAGAAGATGGGCTGGAGTTATCAGATGTAGAGCTTTGTGATAATGAAGTATGGAGTGCTGCATACAAATGTGGATTCTTATGAATTACATCTGCTAAGGCTTGTTCAAGTTCAGTTGACATTTGTGCATTTTTGTTTTCACTACCAGATGTATTGCTATTATAATTATTATTGTTTTCATTAATACCAATTTTACTGGTGCCAGCTTTGTCAGTCTTCCTTTTTGCAATACCATTTGATTGTGGGCTAGCATTTTTACATGAGTCAGTATCCAGTCCAGCAAGTTTTTGATTTTTCCATGTCTTTGTCTTTGAACTTTGACTAAAACCAGAAACATTACCAATAAAGGGAAAATGATGCTCAGTATTACTATGGTTCTCAAGTACTACATTGCTCTGTTCATCATCATGAGAATGATTTTCATTTGGATTGGCATCCAAGCTACTTCTCTTGCAACTGCTCACAGTATCTTGATTATTAATATCAACATGTGACAAGCAACTCTCATTACTAGCAAGTATATCATCATCAGTATCCAATATTAATATGTGTTTATTGCTATTATTTAGACAGTTTTCCTCTTGTACTTGTGTGCCAAAATAATCTTCATTAAGAAAATTGCTTTCACAATTTCCAGGAACATTTGAATTAGAATGGCCCACATTACTGGCCTCATCACCAACATTATTTTCAATTCTTTCAAAACTATTGTTTTCCAAGTTATCTTCATGGTCAAGTAAACCATAATAATAATAATAACTCTCACCATCTGCAAAATCATTCTCATTTCCAAGGTCATCATTATTTTGAGTGCTACAATTGTCTCCAAAACCATCATCTTGAGAGCAATGTCCAAGACCATTTTGTCCAGAACCATCTTGAAAATTATCTTCACTACCTTCCCCTTCCCCTTCACCATTTTCTTCACCACCATTGCCTTCACCATTTTCTTCACCACCTTTGCATTCACCATTTTCTGTACCACCTTTTCCGTCACCATTTCCTTCACTGCCTTTGCCTTCACCATTTTCTTCACTGTCTCTGCATTCACCATTTCCTTTACCACTTTTGCCTTCACCACTTTCTTTACCACTATTACTATTGCATTCACTATTTTCTTCACTGCCTTTGCCTTTACTATTTTCTTCACTACCTTTGCATTCATCATCACCCTTACTATTACCACCATCACCCTTACCATCATTATCATCACCCTTACCTCCATCACCCTTACCATCATTATCACCACCCTTACCACCATCACCCTTACCATCATTATCATCACCCTTACCTCCATCACCCTTACCTCCATTACCCTTATCACCATCACCCTTATTATTATCACCATCACTGCCTCCTCCAGAACCACCACCTCCTCCACCACCTCCACCGCCAGAACCAAATGGTAGCCCCAAGCCCAGGCCAGGTCCAATACCAAGTTGTAAGCGAGTTCCAATATCCAAATTAAGAAAAGAGAATTGTCCACTGACACCAAAGTCAACACCCCATGATGGTTTGCTCACACGTATGTTGCAAGCACTCACACCTGTCCCAGTCATATTAGCCGAAGTGCCAGATCTACCTTCAGTGATTTCCAAATTAAATGCGCTGTTCTCTATTGCAGTCCTATTTATGCATTTATCTGACTTGTTGCTCTTTGATATATCAATATTACCAAATTTATTGCGCATGAAAGTCGCACTCGCACATCGAGTTGATTCATTATTTCTTGATTCTGTATAGTTACCAAATTTATTATCCACCAAAGTCGCTTCGACACTGTCAGAAACCTTTGTATCCCTTGATTTTCTATAATTCCCTATATCATTATGTATCGCGGTCAATTTGAAGCATCCACGCGTCTTGGTATCTCTCGTCTTTTTATCATTATCGATTTCGTTATGCACCCCGGCTATTTCTGCACATAAAAGTGACTCAGTATCCCTCGCTTTTACGACGTTTCCTATTTCATTGTGTATCAAGGTCACATCAGCACATACAGCTGACTTGGTGTCCCTCATTCTTTTATGATTCTCGATTTCATCATGTATCCCGACCATTCTTGCAGATAAACTCGCCTGTGTATCCCTCCCTTTTACACAATTTCCAACTTCGTTATGTCTACCGATAAGCTCTGCAGACAGGGATGTCCTTGTATCCCTCATTTTTGTAAAATTTCCGATTTCATTGTGTACACCAGTCATGTTTATGCATCCAAAAGTATCATTATCCCTTGCAATGGTGAAGTTTTCGATTTCATTGCGTTTTCCGATCACAGTGGCACAAGCTTTTCTCCTAGTATCTCCCTTAAGATTAACTTTCCGGATGTCATTTTCTTCTTTGGATACACTACACTTGAAGCTCTCTTCTTCATCCGAGCCCAAGGTGTCATCGACCTGGATAATAAAAGATGAATAGTTTTTAATAATTAATTGGTTGCAACATGAAAGCTATCAATCTACACATCCATTTAGGACACACATACATCATCGCTAGAATCCTCCTCATCAATTTGATCGCTGATGCCAGTTGCGATATTTTCGAGCGAAGATTTTATTTCATCTGCCAGCTTTTTGGCTTCCACTTCCTTTTTTGCTTGGATAGCTTCATTTCCATGGTAGATAATGCCACCACGTATGTAGATAATGTTTTTACCAGGCTTCATGCTATTCAACAGTCGTATCTTTGTTGGATAGAAATGATAAGGAGTTTATATTTCGGTCGAACGGTTCATGGGCGTGTGAGAACATTAGATAGAACTAGCTTGAGTTGTGAAGTCGGGCTAATCATAACCATATTCTTATCTTCTAGTGTGTGAAAAAGAAGAGCCATGAGAAATTTGACCCAGGCGCCTCGCGAATCGATATATTTATGGGGGGTCCGATATCGGTAGTTGCACAAACATAGGGAAGTCCCTATGAAAATCCACATATCATTTGCCGATCATATAGTAAAAACATATAAACTTTTAAATCCCTAAGGCTTAAAAGATACGCCCATCAAATTGAAATGCAACCATAAAATGGGTCTCACTGTTTTGTTTTTATTGATATGTACGTTAGTTTTTCTATTAAAAACTTGTTCAAATTCCGTTTTCTTTTTAACTCTTATAATTTGAACGTAGAAGGGCCATTTTTTGTAAAGTAGGCGTTAAAAGCCTGAGGGATTTGAAAGTTTACTATTGAAAATGATCGACAAAAAAATAATTATGTTTGTGCCACTACCGATATCGGACATATTTACTAAACATGAGAAAGTAACGTTACCCTCTATTTATATTACGGAAGATACGGCGAATAAACATCAAGTTGATGCAAACGTAAACTTGCACTCATTCGAGGCTTCGCCTTCATTGTCAAGTTACTCATCCTTCTTACAACACCCATAGTCGCTCTCCTCTTGTATCTAAATGAGATGTGTTGTGGGCAAAGTAACATGATGCACAAAAGATTACCAGGTTCAATTTGCCAAGCGCTAATTCCCCTGCTTCACAGAAGTTATGGCAAAATTCTGAATTGCCCCCGAAGTGGATGACGTGCCAGCAAGCGAGTTCTCGGCAATACCAATAAACTATTTCTTTGCTGGAAAAGTGATTTTCACTTTCCAAAACATTCTATTCAATCTTACCTTTTCTATTTAAAGGTCAAATTACGTGACCATATCAACAGATTAAAATTTATTACTCTACTAACATTGTGGATTCTTTTGATTATAAACATTCAAATTACCAAATTGTTTCGCTAAATTTTGTGAACTGGAGTGTTTATCAAAAAATGAACTTTTATGACCACTTGAACTATGGCTAAAGTAAAAGAGTATTCCGCTAAGATATGCGTAGCTTCTATGTTGACGATTGCTTGTGATATAATTCAATCCCGACTCTTTTATTGTTTATTCGTCATAGCTAGGCATTAAAAATAATGCCTATCTCAAAAAATTGATGCGTCTGAAAGATTGTACAATTATGGAGTTCGATATACCAAATACTGAATTCGCTATAGTGCAAATATATGTTAGAAATGTTTAAGATAATAGATAAAGTAAGGTTTGAAACTTGCATCCAATTACCGTAGAGCGCTGACTAAAGTACCCCCCCTGTGTATAGTACCCTTAGGTCGACTGTACGTCTATTATATTGGTTTATGTCATCTACAATCCCAAATATGGTATTAAACTTATTTTAATATTGTTAATTTATTTAAATCACGCTGTTCAACAATTATCTCGTGCATGTATGAAACGAATGTAACAAAGTCTTATATAACGAAAGTCTTAACTCACAGCTTGCTATGCGTGCGATAACAACTAAACGTGAAGTGTTACTATAAATGACAATAAAAAATACGCAATTTCTTTATGCTGAAATTATGAAAAGTAACAAAGCCCTACAATGAAAGTCATAAGTCTTAACGCAGCTTGCTATGGTAGTAATGCTAAATTCCTGGTTGATTATTTCCATTTGGGAATTTTAGTTTTTTTCGCAATTCTGGCGGTGAGTTGGCTTTTGTCCGTGAGAATAATTTTTGGCATATATATTTATTTTATTATTTACTTCAAAGGGACAAACCTCGCGGGAATAAGTTGTCTTGTGACTATTTTTCTTTCTGAAGACTTGGTTATTAAAAATAGATACTGTTCTTGATAATGTCTTAAGAAATTTAGTAAAGTCAATGTGAAAGAGCATTGAAACAATTATTGGGGAACAAATCTTGTTTAATAAAATCTACAATTTTTTAGCTTTAACTTGAAATAAAATTTTGCCAAGTCACATTAGTTCAAATGTAATTTATTCTACGAAAATTCATAAAACTTTTTTTTGTTTGAAAGCCAACAAATTCTAGTTTTTTTATCCTAAGATAACTTCTTTATTTTGACTTCGACTTTCAGTAAAAAATGACAAAAACTCGAGAGTTAAGCGATTTTGAGCGTGGCATGGTTGTTGCCACAGACACCGAAAAAATACTTAAAATACCTAGAACGACTTGTATTAACATAATAAATAAGTTTGAAAGAGATCAGGCTGTATTTAATGCTTCTCGCTCTGGCAGACCACCTCTTTTGAAAGCCATTGATAAGCGTTATTTCATTCGTCCTGCAGAGGAAGTAGCAGAAAAATTCAATAGTCTCGGGCTGACTCAAATTAGCACGAAGACTGCGAGACGTGTTCTACATGAACAAGGGTATTCCAGCCGCATTGGTAGAAGAAAACCACTGGTTTCAGAAGAAAAAAAAAATAGGAAAAAGCGGCTAAAGAACAAAGACAGTAGAGTGAAGAATGGAATACGTTATTTGGAGCGATGAATCCCGCTTTCTTTTATGGCAGACATCGTGTATGGCGTGAACCACACGAACAGTATGATGTGGACTGCATGTTTCCTACCGTAAAAAGTGGTAACAAAGGCATTATGGTTTGGGGTTGTTTTACGAAAAAGAGACTTGGCCCTTTAGTAATTGTTGATGAATCAATTACAGCAAACACATATAAAATGCTGGTAGAGAGCATTTGTTAAGCTTTGTACAGAGTCTCATATTGCATACGTAGTCGAATGGAAAAAGGAAAATTTGATAGCCTCTCTTCTATGACCTGCACAAAGCCCAGATCTTAATCCAATTGGGCATCTATGGGATTTTCTGAGTCAACAGATACATAAGCATAAACCTCATCCAAAAAATTGAGTGATATGCTAAAGGCGGAGTGGTTAAAAATTCCCACCAGCGATTTAGAGAAATTGGTAAATAGCATGCCACGTAGAGTCAGTGCTGTAATTAAAAATAAAGGAAATCCCACGAATATTGATCTAAAATTCAAAGAGTTCATAACTAGACGAGTTTATTGATATGATATAAAGTTTGTCATGCGTTGTTAATACTGTTGTTGCATAAATAAAGTTGTTTAGAATTCTAAGGAAAATTCATGTGACCAATAAATACTATGCTGTATGTTACATATTAATATGACTCAGAGCAATGACGGATAAATATTAATTTTGCAAAACGCTTGTAACATGCTGTATCATTACGATGAGAGTGTAGGAGATACCACAACACAATATTAGATTAACAAACCCTTCGGCGATCATCATTAAACCTCTGAAACAAAACACAAGTCTAAATGAAAGTAACTTTACCGAACAAAGCGCCGAGAAGAATCTTGTTTAGAGGTTATAACAAGAATTCTGACACGGATATGATATTTAATATTTATATTGTCCTTGGGTATCATGCCGAGGGTACACATATTGGGGGGATTTGTAGACATCTAACTCGCAACTGTTAGCGAGTATATGCACTGCTAAGCGTAATCATGCGTTAGTGTCAGGTTAATCTGCATATGACGAAATGATGCGCCTTCCTCGACGTAGACATGACTCCGTGAAAAAAACCGAACAACTCGAGCTCAAAAAGCAATTACAATAATATCTCACTTTTGTGGCGTTACATATTAATATAAAAATGGTCTTCATAGTAGTCGTCGATCAGGAAATCGATACCAAATTTACTTTGTACACTATACAGTGCGATGTCGCACATCATTAGCAATAGCAACGAAAACATCGATCTTTGCAAAAGATTTTGATAGAGGTTACTTTGTTGATACACTGGTGTACATACTCGCCATTGTTCTTCTGTTACTATTACTACGCAACTCAATTAGCTACGTTTGCATAGTCTCAGGTCAAGTGGTAGTTAACGACAATAGAACTCTGTTCTATATCGGAACTGCCTTACCCAGTTAAGTTTTCTCCCCAGGTAACCAAATATCGGTTTGATTAGTGAGTAATTATTATTGTCGGTGTTATGATTGATCACAGTATTCATGTAGTGGGGCATTCTTTTGTTGATGCCGAGTAAGAATATTAATATTATTAATTCTCGACAAATAGCATTCAGACACTTTATTTACATTAAAATTTCCATTTTGACAATCAGCAGAACAAGGTGATTATTCATCATATTCCCACAGCTATCTTGTTTTTTACTTTGTGCAACAGTTTATCCATTGTTGGGGGAACACGAATCAGAATTATACATGTCGACACGACATTCATGATAAGATTGTAGATAAATAATCAAATGTATGTGTTACAATGTTACAATATAGATGTCGAATATAGGTGTACATTTATAGACTTGTAATAACCATTTATTTGTTTGTCTAAAAGAATGTGGATCATGACTAAGCAAAGAATTCGCGATAGAGCGTAAACAGTGTGTAAATAGTTACAAGACATGGAATTCATAGACAAACATGGCAACGGGCACTGCATGCAAATAGAGAAGATGCTTCGATGAGTTTTTCTGTGTAATAAATACTATATGCACACTATATGTATATATACATACGATATGTTATATGAATTTACGAATACTAGATGGCATATTAACATCCAGCTTTATTCTAATCAGATCCTATTACATGTTGTGATAGTGAATCGTGCTACGATATAATAACAAAGACTCTGTGTATGGCCGTTGATACTTGATTTAGAAGGATGGCATCATTGGTGAGATCACGAGTGGCCGTCAGAAGGATAAATAATAATAATCGGACAACAGAAGCGCAATATGACTCAGACATGTGCTTTTATTATTGGTCATTATCTTTGTGATATATATATGTGCGACAAACGTGACATCGCTTGGAACGAACATCAAGTCCTTAGCAAACTTGATACACTTACACAACAGTTCATGTAATGGATAAATTAATAATAGTATCCATAGTACAAATCAAGAACTCTCTACTCAATTAATGTCGCATATTTTAGATCAGTTTGTTCTCGTGCCGTAACATCGATGCGTTTTGTAATATCCTCACGCAAACAACATCATCGGAACAGTGCTTATGATCCGCTTGATTCTCCACCCATTCCCCTCATCTCATCTTGGTTGGTTGTATATACTTGGTTGGATCAATGTGTTAGTACATTATCAACTCTGTATAACGTAGCGTAATGTGCCGTTCGTAATATATTGCATTAATAAAAATACTAGCCACTCACAATCTGCCCTCTGTTAATATATAAACATACATATTCTTCCTTTCCTTTCCTTTTCCCTCCTTCCCCCCATCAATTCGAATTTTTACTATAAAAATTTATTTATATTACCAATATACTAATTGGGTATTTGTCTCACTAAAAATATTAGGCACATCTTTGGCGTCTACTGTTATTTCGATTTAGCCCTGTTTTTGACGCCCACGCACATCCCCCCCCACGCCAACTAACTAGTCTTGGCTCAATATAAATACATCCATAAGCAGAACGTCAGCCCCCAGCCCCCCACTATCTGTCCATATTCCAAGGTCATGGAGACTGAGATCCTTGCTCCCGCTAATATTTACTATCGGAATGGTTATAACGGTCTCACCATTGAGAATGCAATCAGAATCAGAAGCTTCGCTGTAAGTATTTAATTATACAAGATGATGTATGATCTATATTTTATAGACAACATTGATATGGATTATCGCCGTATAAGTATTATTACTATATCTAATAATTTACTCTGCTTTAGACTGGAAGGCTAACGGAAAAGTCCAGAGAAGAAAGAGCTCAAGCTCAACGGAAAAGAAGAGGGTCTCATGGTAACGATCATTTTTTATTGAACGTCGATCGTTGTATTGTCAACGGAATACCTTACTAACAGTATACTCGTTACATTTATTGACTACAGACGAGAAAACAAACAGACCGAGAAAATTTTTGATCGATGTCGAAGAAACGAAGCGTCGAATTCTTGAGCAAGAGGACACTGACGGTGACTCTCAGATCACAATCCATGATCGGGGTCCCAAGACACTCACACTGGGCACTGCAGATTCTGGAGGCTATCACAAGTTTGAAATCAGAGGTACTTACATGCTATCCAATCTGCTTCAGGAACTGGAGTTGGCACGAGATCACGGACGTAAACACATCGTTCTCCACGAAGCTCGGTTAAATGACAACCCAGTAGATAGACTTTCGAGAATGATCAAATACCATTTCTGGGATGGACTAACTAGGCGAATAGATGGGGAGGGGCTGGAGGTGATATGTATTGATCCTAAAAACAGGACAGCTGACCATAGCCCAAGGATTTATATACCTTTCGGCGAAGATGAAGTTTTTGAGTACTACAAAAACGTCGCCGAAACAAAAAGACATTTAAACCTGGACGTCCAGATGTTACCGATGGAGATAACTCCAGAATATGTGAAAAGCATCAACGACAAACCTGGTATCCTTTCTCTTGCGATGCGTAAGATTACGGATGATAAGGGAAATACTACATTCGAAGGCGCTCCCTTCGTTGTGCATGGGGGGAGATTCAATGAAATGTATGGATGGGATTCATATTTTGAAACCCTTGGTCTAGCTGTGGACGGAAAGATTGAAATAGCAAAGTCGATGGTAGACAATTTCGTCTACGAAATTAACCATTATGGCAAGATACTTAACGCCAACAGGAGTTACTTTCTCACTCGATCTCAGCCTCCGTTTTTAACCGATATGGCTTTGAAAGTGTACGAGCGTCTTCCTGAGGAAGAAGAGAAGAAGTTGTGGTTAGCTGGTGTTTTTCGCGCTGCCATTAAAGAATATCAAACTGTCTGGATGGTTTCTCCGCGTTATGACAGTCATACTGGTTTGAGCAGATATCATCCAACCGGTATTGGTATTCCCCCAGAGACGGAAGCTAGCCATTTCGATCACGTCATCTTGCCGTATGCAACAAAATGTGGGTTGACTATCGAAGAATATTCACTTCGATATCAGAGCGGTGAAATTAGCGAACCGCAACTTGACGACTATTTTCTCCATGACCGCGCAGTCAGGGAATCCGGCCACGATACCACTTATCGGTTCGAAAAACGGTGCGCCAATCTGCTCACAATAGACCTAAATGCGTTGCTGTACAAGTACGAGATGGACATTGGCACAACGATAAGGGATGTTTTTGGTGATGAGTTTGAGTTGCAAGACGGGACTGCGATGACTAGCGCTCTGTGGTTCTCATATGCTTCCAAGAGGAAGCAAGCCATAGACAAGTATCTGTGGAATGAGGAAAAGGGCTTGTATTATGATTACGACATTGCCCGAAAGGAGCAATCGGTATATGAATCAGTCACAGCGTTCTGGGCTTTGTGGGCCAATTGCGCGAGTGAAGACCAGGCCGAGAAACTAGTGTAAGTATATCCTTCTATCGATTTATGAAAACCCAAACGGTTTTGTACCTGTTATGTACAATTTGTTAATATTATATGTTTTTACAGTAAAACTTCTCTTCAAAAGTTTGAAGTTCTTGGAGGGATGGTCAGTGGCACCGAAGAATCACGCGGCACAATCTCGCTTGATCGCCCCAATCGTCAGTGGGACTATCCATTTGGCTGGGCACCTCATCAAATAATGATATGGCGTGGTTTGGAGAACTACGGCTACGACAATGATGCTCGAAGGCTAGCCTACCGATGGCTGTACACTATTACAAAGTCCTTTGTTGACTTCAATGGCATCGTGCCAGAAAAGTACGACGTTGTCTCACTCGGTCACTTGCTGAAAGTCGAATATGGTAATGTGGGAACTGACTTCAAGTTCGTTCCGCGAGAAGGTTTTGGATGGATGAACGCGTCCTACCAAGTCGGCCTGACGTATTTGAACAATCACATGCGCAGAGCACTTGGTGCTTGCACTAGTCCCGAGGTATTCTTCAAACGACGAGAGAAGAAAGATCAATCGCTTCACACTTAATAAGTAACAAAGACAATTAAAAAACAGTTGCATTAATAGAAAAAAAGAGTGATATAATTGAGTTTCGACTCGATCGTTTGAGCGTGACTGTAAAATGTTGGTGAGACGATGTGCTTTAATTAATCAAAGTGGAAGGTGTGCTTATTATAAATGAAAGAAGTAGTAATAGAGACCAGCACAGTTAAATATTTATTATTTATTCTTTCCATGTTAATGATGTCCATTTACTGGACGTTTTCTTATTTCCAAAATTTCTTTCATATCATTTGATTTACTATTTCTTGTTATTAGAAACCCCTCCCTTCTCTCTTTCGTTGTTCATGCCATGTACAGTATATAGATTAATGGCGACATTGATTATTTCTCAATCACTTAACTCCTCACAATGAACGTTAAGTAAATTTTCGTTATTACTCATAACTTGTAATTTCTTCACATCTTTTGTTACATTCAAGTGAAATAGTAGTCAGTTTTTGTTATAGATTACCGCAGAAGTTCTGGGGTTGTGATTTATGTGGAATATTACAAAATATTAATAATACAAAATATTAATAAGCGCAGTCCATATAAATAATTATTTACACGTTTATAAATATAATCGAATGCGTTATCCAAGTGTTATGGTCGGGAATTAAATGGGGTTGTGGGAGAGCGATTTATCTTTCGCGTTGGTGTGTTCGCCGACCGGGGATGTTACCAGGCTTAGCTCGTACTATCGCCCTTACTACGATAGTTGTCTGAATTAAGACCGAATTAAGCCTACAACTACAAATTTAACTATGCGCGCCTATCCGAGTTTCAAACACTCGTGAATACAAATAAGGGTACCTTTAATAGAATAACAATTAAAGAATCGAAGGGGAATAAAACTATTTATCTTCGATTTGTTTTTCGACTAGTCGGTATCCCTTATTACTAATTAAACAATAATTGTCTTGATAATTAATTGTGAACTCTCGTTCCGTTATTCACGTAATTGATCCGCGGACAGCTTTATAGCTTGATCAAATCAATGCTATTTTTCTTAAGTGAGCCGTTTATTGGAGTGTCCGGTCTAATAATCAATTATTTCGACGATGAAGAATAAAAATCGTTATTTGATATAAAGGATTTCGGGAGAATACCATAAGATCAGTAGTATTTATGATTTATTCAACAATGTTGTTAAACAACATTTACAACACAACAAACATGAGAATTTGACGATGGAAGATGAGCTACTTGTATATCTTTTAGCGTCGCAGAAAAAGTGAAACGCTTTTAGACTACTATTCCTATGAAGAACAATTAATTTAAATATAAATTAACCAAAGCGTTTGTGCTGTCGCAGAAAATGCAACACGGCGCGCCGTCGCAGAATTTTCGAAATGCTGTATTACTAATTTTAATTCTGTGTTGCGCTAAGCTACGATCATGACTGCGGAAGTCTTCTTTACATATTTTGCCATTCCTCTACCATAAATTGCTTTAACTCCTTACAATTTTTTGGCATCCTTCTCTCAACATTATCTATTGGGTTTAAATCAGGAATGGCAACTCTACTTGTGTCCTGCTGGAACCTCCAAGCATCTGATTAACATTAAAAAGTCACATGAGAGACATTAACGTCTTTTTTAGTTAACATGATTGCCAAAGTTCTAGTTGAGACCTGTCCTAATGCTTTCGACGCTTTACCAGTGATCTTCTTTGGCCGACCATTTTCCTTTGCATGAGCTACACTTTCTGTTTTTTTGAGCTTTTTAAATTGTATATTGTCTTCAATTAGTTACACCATATTCCAAAAGAATAATATAGTTTGACGTCGTGTTTCTTGAGCGGAAGTCATTTTTTGAACGGGAAATTAGAAAGAGAGAATTACAGTCTAATTTCTTTATACCAATATCCTTTATACCGATGATTGGTTTATACCGATGGGATTTCGTTTACCTGAATAGTCCTATTAGATTGTACTGTTACAAAGAGGCCTCTGATTATACCGATAAACTGGTTATACCGATAAAAATGGCCGGTGCCACTCGTGTCGGTATAAAGAGGTTTGACTGTACATGTGTTATAAACAAAAAGCACAAATCAAATGTTTATTTATTTTTTCAAGACGTAAATGGAAAGGTTGTGCGCGCGCGCGTTTTACAAAGCAGAAAAAAAATTGTTACGCACTGTAAATCAGATCATTGTTACATATTCAACGATGTCAGTACCTCTGAGTGTATTTTTAACTCAAAAACAAACCTGCTATATTTTTCCAGGTGACGTTCGCATACTGTACAAAGTCTAATTTAATGCAACTGTCGAAATGAGACCAACATTTCACACTCTCTGGATTCGTTCTGTGTTCATCTTATCATCGCAATGAAAAGCGCTCCTGAAAAACCAGAATGTTGATATGGCAGTTATTCTTGATGGACTAGAAATTTTGACATAGTGATCTGTTTTAACCATTATTAAATACGTAGCAAATTTTTACTTTTTAAGGTATGACGGTTTCTATAACTCCAGTCAATACCTTACTTAACAGTTACTGGTTTGGTAAAAAACGCAGAAATTCAAATATTGTTGTTCAAGAGAACGGAACAGAGAACTAGTTGATATTAGATATATTAAAGGCGAGGATTAATGGATTAGTGATGTGAAATAATAAGCATGTTTAATAAGTTCCTTAATAAAACACAATACAGCAATATGGTACTTGCATTCCATGAGCTTCAAAATGGTATGCCAAATGAGAAGGATACTTAGTCCGGGAAATATGTTATTAATTCATTACATCAACTTTTAATATTTGCTCATCTTTACCTCTTTTTGAACCTACATGCCTTCTTTATCTTCAGTTATGGTCCTTAGAGAATAAAAAGCTATTAACAGCCCGAACGTGGAGAAAATTTTGGCGTAAATGTCCGAGCTTAGCTTAACTTTTTCAACACCACATTTTGCTTCACGCAATGAGTTGGGATAATTCCTCCCGAAGGTTTCGATGGCTGAAAATTTCATGTGCCAAATTCAGACACAATTTATATCGACGATTGAAACGACATACAATGCAAGGAGCGACTATTTAATATGGGCTGGTTGAGCGGTGATCGGAAAGTTATATATTAAAAACTAAATTATCAGTCGACATTGAGTGTAGAGGCAACTGTCTAAATAAACTCGAGACCTCGCATTGCAAGAAATAACAAAGGTCCGGAAGATAGAGCCTTGTTGACATTGTAGCAAGTTTAATAATTTAGAGAAATAATAGATAGAGACTGTGAAACTGAGATGACTGGAAATATTGTGCTATTGTACAGAGACAATGATGATTCTCGACAAAGCCATCTGCGAGCGCTACTTTGATTACTCGAAATATTACCACGTATAATATTACCTTGAAAGACAAATTGTCTTGAAACGGTATTTGCAACAAAAGATCATGTTCTTTGATTTTTATATAAACAGGCACTAACACTAACAGGCACAATTAATATTCTCGGAAAATTAGTCCGAATAGCGTGTGACGCAAAGAAACAATATACGGGTGATACCAGCAAAAGAGAGGTTATCACATTGATTACTAGAGAGTTGGAGCAACTTCGGCGAACATTGTTTATGATTTGCGGCAGACACGATGGATCTGGATGATGTTCTTGGTTTATTATTACAGAGTCTCCCTGATAAGTATACAATAGATTATCAAAGCAACGGTGTGAAGGATGAATGTTTAAGCTATATTAGAGGCAATCAAAATTATTATTAGTGGTGACTGATGCATATGAAGAATGGATGAGCAAAGAAGACATGGAAATCAGGGCTGTTTATTCGATTGAATAGAATTATATTCTGTTAATGATCTGATTACCAGCCAATGTTAATGTATGGGCGATAACCATTTTAAATGTGCTAATATTATAATAGCAAGATGGATAGATTGATAATCCTCTACATTATGTAAAAATACAACAAGCGAGCTGTTTGCGTGATTGTAAACAAGCACTCCATTATTGGCTGCGTTTCTTTGTTCTCTTTGTCATCAAACTTGATTTGATTCGTTCAATATAACAATACAGGTGATCCAAATGTGTTAAGTATTAGAAAGAGAATTTGCTATACGGGTTTGTATAAGGAAAGAAATAATACATGAGACAAACGAACATTGTTAATGAGAATGACCAGAAATACTTTACAAAGGCACCCATTTATTGTTATGTCGTGATAGGTTTAGAATAAGATAAACACGTTCATTGAAGATTATCTAATCAAGGTTAACTCCAAAATTCTACCCCACTCGGTGACACTTCTCCTATGTCATTATGTCATGAGTCATTCACAATCAGGGCATATTGTGTGCAAATCCTCACGTGTTTTTTTAGATAAATGGTCTTCCACGCGAGTATCAGCACAGACAATAACCGCTGCTTATAAAAAGCAGACGAATGCAATAAACCACACTCATTGTTTCTATGTTTTACTTCCCTCCACTAGTGACTAACAACCATGCTCAATGAGAACCGCTTTCACACACCTAAACAGTGTACGAAATGCAACTCCAAGAACAGCCAATGCAAGAACCAACAAACACAGACAGAACGTCATTTCGAACGCTGGAAACGACATATCCAAGATGTGATGAATGTACAAGAGAAAGCAAACAGAAAAGAAAATGAGAAGAAAGGGGAGTGGCTCAAACATAATATAATAGAGACGAATTTCACTATAGACGTATGGAACGAAGATATACGCCCTCGGCCCCCTCGCCCTTTGCCCCCTCGCCCTTTGCCATTATACACAAGTCGCATAACACCTCCTTATTCCCTGCAATTATTACTTCGTCAAATTCATTTCGCTGAACATCATAGTCCGGTATCTCCGCTGCCCTCCAAGCCACGTTGCCGTCGTATAGATGTAATAATAACCAAGACATCAAACGATTATAGGAAATTGGCAGTGTGTACACAGAACATACAACCGCCCATAATCAAGACATTGACTTGGAATCCGATTACGTTAGATTATCGAACTACATCGTCACTGCCCAAAAAAAGCTTTAGATTGAGAGTAAAACATTGGTGTCCTGTTTGCAGTGGATCGGTGTGTGAAGCGTGCCGGAATCCTTTTACAGAAAAGAGAGCAAGAGAGAATGTTGGTCAGAACAGGAACGATAACAAGCACAGCAATTGCGTTGAGAATAAATGCAACCGTCGCAATGGGAATGACAAAGTGAAAACCCATGTCAGAGGATCAACGCAGTCCAATGATGAATGCGAGAACGAGATCAAATGTTACTGTTGCTCCAGATGTTACAGAAAACACTGGTCACCGAACAATAAAGAGCTGATGGAACAATTAAAGAGACACTTTGAAACGTTAGGCAGAAGCAGAGGTGAAAATGGCGGGAAAGAATGGTAACATTATAGAATAGAATGGTATACTTACTGTACGTAATTAGAAGCATCAGAGGATGATGCATTTAGATATGTTACAATACAAACAAAAAAAGGGAGAAAGGAGCTTGACAATGGAATGGGCCTGTGAAGAAAAAAAAAAAAAAAAAAAAGGGCTAATAGCAAATATAGAAAGTGTCTTGCCTGAACGTCTGATAGCATATTCCACAAAAACTCACCGAGACAAAAAACCAAAACGAACTATTGTTTAAATATCTTGTTACACAATAAACAATGCCGTCATATATGTATATTCTCTATCACTTTTCTCGACTTTTTGCTTGTAAACAAAGTATCAACAAAGAACATTTATCTGGTTTCTTCATCCCGCTCGTGCAGATTTTTGATTGGTCAACAAAATCTGCGGGGTGTCATTTGTTTTGTCGATTGTTCATTTGATTGTTGAAATAATAGATTAAGAACCTTAATATTTAATCTTTGTGAGTGCGACATTACAGTTTTGTGTGATGCGAGTTGGATATGGATCGGTTGAAATAACACATGGTACTGGCACACTGAAAGTGTATGGAACCATTATGAAGTTACGATTGTTTGATAAACCTGTCACATTTCACGAACCTGCATAAATTAATTGCTTACACAAAGTGCGTTACTTTTTATAAACTCAACAGAAGAGTAATAGGTATTCCGTTTGCCATGTCAGTCGAATGTAATGAGGCTTAGTTATATAAAATTAGTACTATTTGAGCATACGAGAATTTATTGAATATAATATTTCGTGTGCCAAGCTTTTCACAAAACCAGCGAATACGGTTTGATCGTCAATATACAGATTTACATTTATTATGTCTCAAGAATATTTCTATGTAAAGTGCAAAGGAGTAATTACACTTTAGTCGTCGTCTGCTGGTTTGAAGCTTTCGAAAAATGATTCTCGTTCCCTCACTTGATGAGAATGTCTCGCCGGCACATACAAAGAACTATGGCTTGCATATTCTACATTCTATTGAAATATAAAATGTTTTTTTTCAACCATCATTAATACATTTTCTCCATTGTGTTCCGACAAGTGTCTGCTTATACTATATGATAAGCATCGTCATTGTATGAATCGGATTAAGCTTACATTCCTCACTTAGCAGGTCAAGTCAAAAGTAGGTAATCTGATCGTTCAAAAAACGAAATCAAAGAATCGCCCGAGTTAATTTATCTGAACTAAATTTCTTCGATCCAAATGCTGTCGTAAATTATATTGCTAATTTAGCAAGAGGTTGGACCCTTGTTTAGATAGAACCGCTCACCCAAGTGTTGGGAATGATGATCTGTGAAAGATCAATAGGGTTATTGTTTCGTACAGATATACAGTATAATAGTACACGTACAGTATACAAATTGAATGATGGACGCTCGGCGAGGTGGTTAATTACAAAATAAAGTTGATTACATCTACTATTAATAACTGACTTAAAATAATCATGTTCGTTAACGTGTACGCAAGAGTTTGTGGCAGAGCTTTGACGCATTGTTCTGCAGATTTCTTCTTAACAGTTACCGGTATTATTAATAAACTGATAATTTTTAGGGAAGAAGACGCAAGCAATAGTAAGTAGGTAAGATTATAAAAGGAGATGACAATAAAATATTATAATTTTGCATTTGTATGTTCAAACCAAATGGCTTTAGTTACCCATGAAAATTACAGGCTTTTATTTAATTGATGAAAGTCAATGAACTTTACCACCTTTATTACATACATGGGATGACTGTTAGCTCATGGATTAACTTTGACTCGGAAAAAAGAGCCCATGTTTAATAAGCTTATAAAGCAGGTTAACATAACCTCCACAATATATGATTTGACCATTATATAATACACAGTAATAAGTTGCCTGTAAGCATTGGTTTCAAAAGTGAGTACCACATAAGCCTTACAGAAAATTCAACTGCCAATTTTACATATTTCAAATAATGAACGATGAGTTTATTTAACAATAACTACAACATATATAACAAGTCCGTAACTGTACTATTTTCTAATTCTACTATATCAATGGTAGTTGGTGTTGTAAAGTCTGCTATTTACTTTACACATTCACGGAATTATGGTGTCTAGCATTGGAAGAGACAAATTCACCGTCGTCGGCAATTTTCTCCAACGGCTCATTATTGGTCTCAGGTAAAAGAGTTGTACATGCCGCTCCAATTACCATAAAGATGGCATACATTATAGAGGCAACGAGAAAATTTTCAACCGAACGTACGTTTTGTTTCCATTCAAATGTCAGGTAAGAAATTATAAAACCAACTTTTCCAAACGCTGCGCTTATACCATAAGCAGTTGAACGATAGCGTGTTGGAAATAGTTCGGCGGGCACGACGAAGGCCACCGCTTGCGGACCGAACGTTAAAAAGAACTAGTAATGTTTTAAAAAATAAAGTTGTCTTACGATTAGCGTCGAGAAAAATAATAAACCGTCAATAATAAAACGAATGCTTACGATAGTAATGGTAGAAACTGAATAGTATAAACGGTCCTTTCGATGCAGTTCATCTGTGTGCACAAACCGCATCAGGAATCCCAAAAGGACGAATAAAAACGCACATGCCGCAAACCCAGTGTATAGAATGGGTTTTCTGCCTCATTTGTCTATTAGGTACACGGTAAGTAAAGCACCGGGAACATAGCCAAGAAGAATGCGAATCGTATAGTTCACATTCTGTTCCAAGATGATATTATAGGGGTTGCCCTCATTAAGGATAATACCATCAAAAAGAACATCAGCCCGATATCCAGTCGAGTTAATGTTGACACAAAACCAGATGATAGACGTCGCGAGCAAATATTTTCCGTTTTTCCATGAACGAAAATATTGGTACATGTCGAGTAAATGGTTTGGTGTACTTGTGCTTTGCGTCAGAGGGGTGGGTCTTCTTTGGGATTCATAGTTTCCAATCTGCAACGGTTCGATATTGTTAGTCCAATCGATTTCTCCTTCAACGTCGATTAGATAGCGAGGTGTTTCGGGAATCGACAACCTGAAGAACAGCGCGATTATCGCAGGTATGGCGCCAAGTCCGATAATAATTCTCCATACATAATCAAGATTTCGTGAATCTTGGATGATAGAATTGTGGAATGCAGCAAGAGCGATAATAGATACAATACCAGCCGAAAGCAACCCCAAGGCAAAAATGGCAAACCCTGCTGCCAACATTCTTCCCCTGATTTTTCTAGGCGCAAGTTCAGAGATGATAACTGTGGCGAATAAATCAAATCGTGCGTTGAAATGTTGCTTTTAATGTAAAGAAATGATACATACGTGCACTAATTGGGTAATCCCCGCCAATTCCTATACCGAGAATTACTCGACAAAAGGCAAAACTGCCCACAAATGATACGGCAGGACCCTGACCAGCGATAGCAGAAAACAGCGTGCCGATCACCACGATTATCAACTCTATGCCAAACATCTGTAAATCAAAACATGAATTAGGATTTACATAGAATTCGACTCTTCAACCATAATTTACTCTTACCTTTTTCCGTCCATACTTGTCGGCCATGTATCCGAATAGTAAGTGGCCCAATATAGAGCCAAACCGAGTAGAAGATCTCAATATAAAGTTCGCAGACTCGGTAATCGTATCGTCACCGTAAGCATAGACCAACATCGACAACACGAAGCTGATTGCATGCAGATTATATCCGTCGGTGAAGAAACCGGCGCTCGCTACAATGCAGATTCTAATATGCGACGAAGATATGTTGGCGTCATCAAATAGCTTGAGGGCGGTTTTGCGTTGAGTGGTAAAGTTATTATCATTAGAAACTTGTGAGGAAATTGAGTTTGTCCGAGAGTGATTTACTCTGTTTTGGCGTGTACTCATTTTGTTTGTTAATTGCCAATTTGAAGTTAGTTGGGATCTATTTATAACGGGCAAAATGCTTGGCACTTGTGTTAAAACGGATTCATTATTGAGTTTGTTTATGATACACTTGTAAAAATAAACATTAGACTCTTGTATGCGCTTGGGAGAGACAAAAACAAACTATGCAAACGCGATTATTTTAATACTAGCCTCCTAAATATTTATTATTTGCGATCATTGCTTGTAACAGTTTTATAATGCGCAGAAATTAAGCGAGTATGTAAAGTGTTTTTCGAAACGGTTTATTCATACTGGAAAATCTAATGATGTGCGACTTATCCTGCTGGAAGATCCGTGTTCAAAGCAATTAAGATCAAATGCATTGTATCACCTAATCCTCATCTAATCATAATCGTGTTACAAACTGTGTTGGCTGAGGCATTGTGTTTAAGGAATTACACCGAAACTTTCTATTTTAATCGAAGGGAAAAATTTTTTTTGCTTACGTAAAACGTTGATAATCATTTTGGAACTAGTTGGAAAAAAAGACAAAAAAAGAATGTATTAGAGTATAACATTAAACATAAGCATTATATTTTTCAACTGACATATGGCGTGAACCACGGTGAGGTTGAATAAAAATATCCCATAAAAGGCATTAGAAAAATAATTTCTTGCATAAACTTTAACAGTTGAGTTACGTAGTTCAAGAGTTTTGCAACTCGAATGTTTCTATCACTGAATTTTATGTTACAATCCTTTACCGTTCCACAAAACCTTATATTCCACAATGCTGTCTGGTCAATTCTTAGATATTAGACATTGTATAGCATATATCATTCACAAAGCTTTATTACTGCCAAATTTTTAAAGTCGTATTTTGGTTCATGTGACTACATATTTTCTAATTGTACACTCTTTGTGTTTCAAGCATGGGCCTTATATTAAGCAAGTGTAACAGTATGCAGGCAGTCGTATTAATTGTAGATTAATATGGGCAAGAGTGACAGTAGTACACGTAGTTAAAAATAGACGAAAGCGGCAATTCAGAAAATATTTAAGCAATGCGCTTTTCCGCTACGATCGGTGTGTTCTCATTTTTCAGTTATAAAACGGGTAGTTCCTTATTATTATGCTCTGAAAATAATATGATCGATATTTTGTAGTCAAGACTGGATATAACGATATCTGTATATAACGATAACTGGATCTAACGATGACATTTGTCATTACCAAAACATTCTTATTTAATTTCACCTGGCTATACCGATTTTTAATATTAAAACCTCGTTATTACGTATAACGATACGTATACGATGTACCAACTATTGTAGCAATATATTTTTTATACCGATATTGTTGTGTGACATCCAATCAAAAACTGCACGAATTTCGAGTATTATAATATTATTCGTCTAATACTAAACTCAATAAACGAACTACCAGCGAAAACACCCAATGTCCAACAAAACGTTTGAGAACACGCTTGACTTTTGCACAAAAAAGGATGTGTGTGTTAAACTCTCTAGTAAACCCAAACCTTCTCAGGGAGAGCTTGCCGAAGAGTATGAGAAAGAGACTGTTTCCATAAAGAACGTGTTAGAAAGCTTGGATAATCTTTACAGAAACCTGTAGTTTTTATAAATCTCTCTGTGACATCAGAATAAGATCATCACTATCTAACAGGCATCACGTAATGAGATCGCCATGAGGATTCTAATTTTAGTGTATCGTGAAGATGTGCCCACGAGATTTCGGGGATGCATGGAAATTTTACGAATCTCGTGACAAGATCGCCAGGATACTAATAGAAATTTAGCAATTTGTTGGTGGACGAGTATTTTCTGATTGTAAATGTCACATGGTTATCAGTACAACGTCCTGCAAATCTCATCGAACTATTTTTGAAAAATGCAAGTTTCTGTAAAGCTTGTTTTGTTCACTGAAAACTCAATGCTAAAAGATATCAACAAATTCTTGAAACTCACCCATTTCCAGAGCAAATCGCCAGTCTCGTATGACTCCCCTATCCACAAGGCAAGGGCAATAACTAACCTGTTTGAGTGCCATAGTATTCACATTCTTGATTGGCTCACTTACTCGCCGAATATAAACTCAATTGAGAATTTGTGGGCAATACTTAAGGGAAAAGTGGAGAAAGAAGTAAATTTGCGGTTAATGAAAAAAAGAAAAAGCTTTCAACAATTGACTTTCAAATAATAATTCGCTAGGAATGGGAGGGTCTGGATGATAATCTCTTCCTTAGGTTGGCGAATAGTATGAAAAATCGTGTTTCGGAGGTAATTGAGCAGGAGGGAAAAAAGATATATTATTGAAATTTTGTACATAGTTAGTAACTGTATTTGGTAAAATATATACGAAATTTAAGCATACAAAAATAATGAAAATAAAAATTTTTGTTTGTGAGATCAAATTCCGGATATTTATGACGACCACTGTACGTGTGGCTTATCGAACTTGTTAGCCAATGAAAAATATTTTACTGCATGTGTTCCGGATACAATGATACTATTGTTCTTATTTACGGAAACAATCGTGACAGATGTAATGATATGTTACACTAGGTAATATGTTTATGCTTTACTATTGGTTGACAGTCGCAGACTCTCACACTCCTTACTGCATAGGTTAACAGTCCCCATGCTGTTAGTGCTACTCGCTATACTGCATATATCATATCGCACGGGCGCTTCTGTTATTGATATTATCATACGCGTGACTTGTCGGACTTGTTAATCAGTGAAAATATTTTACCGCAACTGTCACCGTAAATAAGAACAATAGTATCAGTATAACACACGCGATATGATGTAATTATGTGTTACATTAGACAATATATCGTGTGGCTGACTCTCACCCTCCTTACTGCATAAATCACGACAATATTTATTCTTATAAGGTCGCGCACGACAACAATATCAAGTGTCATTTAACACGCAAACACGCGAACACGCGTCCACTTATACATATATATACCCTGACGCTCCTCTCCATAGCGCATGTATCGCTTCACAACAACCTCCCCTCCTATACTACAACAAACAAGCAAGCCTTTTGCTGCTACTACTCCATATTACGCACATACGACGGTTTGCCACGACGAAGAACGCCCTTTGCTGCTGCTATTCTCCAAAGGTGGGTGTGTGCTAATTGATATTAGGGTGGGTTTAGATTAATTAAATGAGAATATCTCTGCAATGACATAATACAACGCTCTGCTTTCTGGAGAGTAATGTATTGCCTTCACCTCAGCTTGTTCTGTAGCCGTGTGGTCAGTCTGCAATGTAGAGCGGGTATTTTCTCTACTTTTTCTGCTTGCAAAGCCTCTGTATTGTACGTACATCTATGCGATGCGAGCGGTTGGATTAGGGTTAGTACTTTGCTCTATGTTGTCAGTTGACTTCCTCCTATCGAGTGACTGTTGTTGTTAGTCCCTTCACGTCAGTTTGTTCGGTAGTCGTGCGGTCAGTTTTCAGTGTAAGCTTGGTATTTTCTTTACTTTTCTGCTTTGCAGAGCCTCTGTATTGTTCGTACATCTATGCAATGCGGGCAGTTGGGCATTTTTAGTACTTTGCTATATGTTGTCGGTTGACTTCCTTCTATCGAATGACTGCCGTTGATAAGATTGCATGATGCATGTTTTCAACTCTTTAGTCTGCATAGACTAAACTTGTTGACTGTCTGGTTGGATTTTTATTTTGGGGGTAACTTGCTACAAGTAATTAGTAATAACTTCTTCTTGTCTCTACAATATTATTTAGGATAGGACAAATGTCAACATTAAGTGTACCATAAACTCAAGGTAATATCTATCGCTCGTGGAATACTCGCTGCTATAGATATATATAATACTTACTATCACTCTATCGTATGCGTTCCTTTATTAGGGACAAGTAACTTTGGTCTCCCAATTAGATACGGTTTCCGACCAACTACCGACCTGTTACCACAACGCGGTTTAAAACTTTTACTGAAAAGATGCGGCAAAAATCCAGACCAAACCTAACCTTCAGAGAATTGATGCCAGAATTCCCCAGATCATAAAACGGAAGAAAGTGCGGTAGCGGAGGAAAGCGGCGAAACCGTGAATGAAGAGAAGCAGTTGCGGGGTACAGTCAACTCTGTCTATACCGGCACGAGTGTTTTGGCAGTTTCTGGCCGTTATAACGAGAGACCGGTATATAAAACTGTTACACGGGTAGGAAATCGTGTAACCATATAATTGTGCGATAAACTCATTATTATTATTATTTTTATTTTCAATTTGATGTTGCTGCAAACCAATTTAATTGAGTTTGTTTCAAATGATTTATCTTTTCTTTTTCTTTATCACGCAGTAATCGTCGTAAGAGCAACAGATGTTGTCATTGCGATTTTTTTCTAAAAACATTAGTCTGAATGGCAGAGTGTGCTTCGCTGTTAATGAAGTTCTAATACGTTTAGGTGTCTCTATGTCTGTATTAAAATTTTTGGCAGAGATTCTCTTGCGTGGCATGGTAATAATTAAAAGGTTGGCTGAGTTATGGCTGCATTTATTAGTAATATATACAAATCATCACTTGACTTCGCCGGTATTAAAGTAAATCTTTTTATATAATTTTAATAGTCATGTGACCTTATCTTTTGTTAGCCCTTTCTATTAAATTGGTTTATTTTATATAATTAGCAAATTTATATTAGTTTAATAGAGAGGACTTAGAGTGTAGTCTAGAGCTGGGAGCGGAAGAGCCGAAGAGTAAACTGCTGGCACAGTTTGAAATCTTTCAAAGAACGGCTCAGCCGCTATTAAAGAGGAGAACGGCGATTTGATTTCAGTACTGAGATAGAGTAATTCAGGATGATGGTCATCAACCACTACTATTTGATGATATTATGGAAAGTAATTCTCAGAATAATATCGGCAAATATAATATAAAGGACACTATTTACAATGTTTCTAGCGCATGGAATAATGTCACTATGGAAACAATTCAAAATTGTTGGCGTAAAACTAGCATCCTTCCTACACTGTCTCCCGAATACATTTTTGACTTTATTTGCATCGACAATGACAATACACAAATACATGATGAACAAAGTCAGGCTAGCGAAAAAATAGAAGAGGCAAACAGCCAACGAACATTAATTCAGGATTTAATCAATCAATTAAATTTGTCAAATCCGTTGTCTGCTGATAGTAAGTAACGATGCAATTGAGGTTATTTTGTTATTTACACCTATGCTAACATTATATCAAATGTAGAATTTATTGCTGTTGACGATATGGAAAATTCTGTCGCAACGTTAAATGACGACGATATAATTCAAGATGTTCTAAATCATAATAACGAACTCGAAACAAAAGATAACTCCGATACAGAAGATATACCGATACAGAAGAAATAAAATTTTCGTTAAAAGAAGGCGAAGATGCATTAAGAAAGTCTTTATCGTTTCTTGAACAACAGGATAACGATATAACATTAATATTCGTGTAGATGATTTATCGGTCGTTCGTCGACTAATTAGTCAAGTTTAAGTTTCATATTATCGTAAATTGCAGTATAAACAGTTATCTTTAGAAAACTTTTTCGATAAATATCCACATTGATATTCACAATAAAATTTGCGGTCGATAATTCGTCCATCTACGTTAATTCGGACGATGGCCTCGGAAAGTTGGTGTCCGAATTAAAGGCAGTTGACTGTATTATATCATACACTCCCTGGACAAAAGTATCCGATGGGAATTTTTTCGATTTTATGCAAAATCCAGTATAATAATTACACAAACTTTTTATATCATTTTGTAGCTTTGCTTTTTGCAAATCTGCATGTGAAGTTTGAAGTGTTTAGCTTTCTTGAACGACGAATTATCAAACAAAAGACAATTGCGATTAAAATCAATTTCGCCGATTTTTTTGGCTCTAAACATTTAGTTTATTTTAGTACTGAGTTGGCCATCCGTTATTCAAAATACATGCCTCAAGCCGTCTTGGCATGCTCTTAATCAAATTGGAATATGTTTGATGAGGAATTAGTGACCATTCCTCTTTCAGAGCAATCTCTAATTCTGTGGCATTTTTTGGGCGTTTTTTACGATTATTTAGTCGCCTTTCAAGCTCATTCCAAAGGTGTTCAATTGGATTAAGGTCAGGAGATTGAGATGGCCAATCAGGTAAAATTTTAATTTTCTTTTCCCTAATCCAATTGGTAACACCTTTTGCTGTATGCACAGGAGCATTGTCATCTTGAAAGGCATAACATTTGCCATTAAAAGCACTTTGAATTAAAGGCAAAAGATGTTTATCTAAAATTCTAATATAATCCTGATGATTCATCTTTCCATCCACTCATACTAATGGACCCATACCCCTTCCTGAAAAACATCCCCATACCATTATTCCACCACCGCCTGAGGGTACAATATTTTCAATATTGTGACGTTCCCCAGCTCTTCGCCAAAGATTGGCGAAATTAATTTTAATTGCAATTGCCTTTTGTTTGATAATTCGTCGTTCAAGAAAGCTAAACACTTCAAACTTCACATGCAGATTTGCAAAAAGCAAAGCTACAAAATGATATAAAAGTTTGTGTAATTATTATACTGGATTTTGCATAAAATCGAAAAAATTCCCATCAGATACTTTTGTCCAGGGAGTGTATATATTACTTGACTTCAGCAATGGTCATTACATGAATGCTCTCCCACGTGTGGCAATCCAACAGCAGTAACAAATGTCTCTAATCCTCTGGGACCATTTCTTGCAGCATTGTTCCTGCCAAATGTTGATTTACCAAAGTGATCCCATATCATTTTAAGAGGTTCCTCAATTTACAATTGCCTCAAGGTGAGCAGCTTCATCAGTGTAGAAGTCAGCAGAATTCTAGAGAAAATCCTCAGCCAACTTGTAGATTTCACTTCTTATTGATAGATTTTGATTATTCATATCCTGAAGAAATTTGCCAAAAACAGTATGAAAGAGGACAACCAGGGGACCAGTTTGCTCAAAAGGGCAGCCATTAAGAATTGTTCAGTTTTTTTCCCTGTTCTTTGGCGAACTTTGCCGGTTTTGCAGCTCTCAACGGTCCACTTGCTTCAAGATCAGCTTGAACTGTCTCTTGATAGTCTGAAATAAGACAGATCAGAATAAATAAAAACGAAGGGAAGAGGAAAAGACCAATATTATAAAGCTAGATGAAACCAACTTTTATCCAATTTCTGACGTTTAACATCATCAATAGTGCCGCCCTCGGGAATCGATTTACGACGGGACGGATAAGACTTTGAGTACTCATACATCGGAATTGTTGGCCGTGCTGGAATCGAAGATAAGACAAATAAAGGTTAAGGTTTTTTTGTTTTTGTTTTTTTTTTTAAAAAAAAAGAAAGAATTAGCTTAGCTTGGGCTTCGAGTTTCACAATTCAATTTCGCTACTTACCAGGCGGTTCGACGATAATGTGAATGTGTTTTTTGGGCGGTGTCTCGGAGAAAACATCACTTACTTCCTCTGTGGGGTACAGTTTCTGGACACCATTAGCGTTCTCAAGCACGAGTTTTTGAAGTATAGCATCGTTCTCGACTGGGATAAACACTCTCCAGAGCGTAAGGTTGTCAGGATCAATTCCGTCCGTCGAATCGTCGTTGCTTCTCGGCCTTTATCAATTTCCTGAGGTCTGCAACAAACTCTGATTTATTGATTCTAACAGTGAATGCGTGATCAGACCTCGCCGCGAACAAGGCACATGAGTGTAATGGTGTCGCTCATTGTTTGGAAATTGGCGAAGCAGCGTATTTTGTTTTTGATGGCGTCAAAAATTTTGGAGTTTAATAATTAAGACGTGGCATGAACATCTGCCTCACCAACAACCAATTACTGTTCGTGTTCGCTTAAATAAGCATAATAATAATATCTCCTTTGTTTAGCCGAAGCAAATATTTTTCTCTCAATCAAAACACTTTTACTCTTTAAAATTAAAGGTTATAAAGTTACACAGCTTGTGATTCGTGAAACAGTATGGAAGTCGATAATACGGAAAATACTTCAATTATGGCGAACTTATTTTGAGAAAATTTAAGCTTTTATTACTAAAGTTTATATACTAATGTCGTTAGTTAGTTTTATTTTATGATAATTTTTACATAGTTCATCAATAATATAAGTTATCTGCTATTAAAGAGGTTTTTTTATTTTGTAAAGTTTATGCAAATTTTCATTACGTGTTATTTGTTCATTAATAGTATTTACTTATTTAATTATTTTATAGATTTTTTCCTGGAATCTTTTACCAGATGTTTTAAAACCGGCTCTTCCTTGTGTTACGGTCGGGAATTAAATGGGGGTTTTGGGAGAGCGATTTATCTTTTCGTGTAGGTGTGTTCGCCGACCGGGGGATGTTACCAGGCTTAGCTCGT